ATTGCACACATGCCATTATCGAAGAGATTTATTTTGTTTTAGCTTCAGACTGATTCATGTTATACATGATTCACAAACGATCAGACAAGAAGAAAACGCCAACGTCTTATACAAATCGAACAAAATATGAATAAAATAAAGATTTTCAATGAGACTCAAGGAGAATAAGACCAGGTGTTCCGCAAGAGTAGGCATCTCTTACTTTATCGATGACAGCGAACAAAACATTATATAACGAACTTGTAAAATGTTATTCGATAGTTTGCAATTTAAGTAAAGGTTTGCAATATTTATGTTGGTAAAATCCACTATTCATACGAAAATATGCTTCTTCCTAACGGACTTTACATGGGTCTCGTGCCCTGTTACACGTCTTGTTATTGCCTACATCTTTATCATAACTTCTATTTAGTAGCAATAATATACACGCCAACAAGCCTATAGAAATTTCATTTCAGATAATAATGACATCAAAAACATAGAAAGATTATCTCAGGAAGGATGAAAAGAAAACCAGAAGAAATCTTCACTCCTTAGCTAGATCATGTCGACGCTTCATAAAATACTCACTGTCCTACCTAATAAGGACATAATCTATAAATCCGGGATATTATTGAGTGTTAAAGCCGTATGTTTGATTGGGTGATCTAGCGCTTTATGTAGAGATTCCGTATAATACCATACTGTAATACAACCAGAATTATTTCTACATTATATGTCGGGCATTCCTTTTCAGTAGTAGGAAATCAACAGAGAAAGTACCGGCTTTCAAAACTATACAACAAAAGGCTGCATACCCTGGTGTATCGTGTAAGCAAGTACTAATTAATTACAGATTACTTTGTGGTGACAGAGCGGTTCGACTGAAACGACAGTGTGTGCCTGTCTAATCCAGAAGGATCATTAAGCAGCACAAAATACACGTCGGTCGACGATGTTAATGGCGATGGCAATCTCATAGCAACTTGTTCATACCGACAGGAATACATAGCCATGGTTAGTGGGTCAAAACTGTGTGTTTACCGTGACAAAAAAAATCAAAGAGAATACCAACAAAACCATAACTCAAGATCAATTACATGTGGGCAAAATATCAACTTAAGAGAGATCTACACGGAGGTTCACAAAAAAAGTACAAGCATAATAAAATGTTCCAGAAGAGTAAGCGTCTTCTGCTTCATCGACGGCATCCGCCAAATACTCCCTGGAAGTCTTTAAAATCTCATCCATTAATTGAACTATCTTGAGTAAACAGTATCACATCAAGATTTTAACCCTGATTTGATACTAAGAATGGCGTACAAAGACGCCGACAAGGACAGTTTTCCACCAGGCCGTATGATAAGCGTAATGACTTTAATTTCGCTACCATGAATCTTCCATCTCTGGATAGCAACACTCCTGCATTCCCAACTTACCATGTTTTCACGTCGCTGTTGATGGTTAATATTATGGGGAAGTTTAAGAATATAATTAGGTAACATTCTATTTCTTTGTCCGTGTTTGATACTCTTAAAATACCTGTTGTTTCCGTTGTTTTTACCTTGATCTCGTCTGACAAGTTTTACATGGATTGACCAGTATTCACATGGGGGTGTCGTCGATAAAGCAGAAGACGTTTACTCTTGAGGACCCCCTGGTCTTAATATCCATGTACGTTTAGGAGAGTCTCCATGTAAAAACTTCTTTTGTTCATATTTTGCCTTGGTATCACCTAGTGTCAATAACGATTCTGTTGACATGTCAGTATTTCCTTTATTTTCATTCAGCACACGAGATTTCTTTATGTTCTTAATCCTTCCTTTTTTCAATCTTTTCGTTTTCCTTTTTTAAGCGGATCTAAAGCATCATTATCAAATTCTTAAAATTCATTTAGTCGTTTTCCCCTCTTTTATAAACATCACAGATTCCACAGTAAGTTAAGAATGACAAAAGCGAATCTAAAACATCGAACTTTAGAAGTATAATGCTAGATTCAAGTCAATGGAAAAAAAATTTAACTAAGCAATTAAAGAACACAGAATTAGTTTATCATAAGATAAACACAATAGGTTCCTACCTTAATCAATGCCCGCTGTGTATTCCTCATCCTGAGTTCTGTAGTGAGCTTAGAGAGGTATACCGTGCTGATGATCTCTACATGCCAACAAACAGTGCTGCAGTATACATTGACACAACGTAGGGCATATTATTGATATTTACACTGGATTGGAAACCTGACAAACCATGTCAAATCACATTTCAGCTTAAATTTAAACATTTTCCTCGTTAAACAAATAGTCATTTTTATATAAAGGGTCGTTAGGTAAACACTTGAACAGGGAAGTAGAACGAATACCCTAGATTAGTTTCGGAAAATCAATAGTAGAAGTACTGTTATGGGATAGGTAATTTCAGTATAGTTCTTGGAAAACTTGTGATAAATGATTAAAGTCTGTCCCACTAAAAGCAACAACAGGTGCTTAACCTTAAACTTAAAACTTTACCCGGCTAGGGACACCACGGGGCCGAGGTTTCACCTATGCCCTTATCACCTCAGACTTACTAATACTACTATGGATTCATAATTACCATACTATCTAATTGATTTTATATTGGTTGATATGAAAGGCATTACAGCATGCAGGCATACTTAAAAGTGCAGCAAATTCGTTCCGTTCCATAGCACCGGGTCCCGTGACTTAAACACCTGAAAACCCTAAAGACGCACGATTGCGGTTCGTTCGGACTATTACTACTATCATAAAAACTTTTGATGAATATCCTCTATGTATTAACACTGTAGATTATTTTCATCATCTGAGATTATTTGATGTGTTCTCCCTTCTCCGTTTGGATATATTTCGTTAATGGCGAGTAATTCTTGACATCGCTCGAGACAGTAACTGGACACGCGATTTAGTTTTTTTCTACGTACATGTAAACGCGAGTGTCATTAGCAGGCAAACTTTACAAAATGAATAAGTCAAGTTAGCAGATAGGTGCTAATTGAATAAATTAGTGACACAAATGTAACACAGTAACACATACATAATATATCATGATAGTTTCACCTTGATTAAGTAGAACGCGTTCATCAACAAACAAATGGCATCAATAAATAATAGATAGTATTTACCCAAGGGTAATTAGACTCACGGCTGGATACAGTACTAACGTATCAGGTCTCCCTTGATAGCACTTTTCGTACATATATATATAAAAAAACAAATTTGAAACACTTCTACCGAGATAAAAAAAATTCACGTAACGCGCCTATTTGATATGAAAGCACTTGTTCTAATACGTTGAGTGTTACTGCCGTTATACAATTATCTAATACTGTGGGAAAGGTGAATAAATCTGACAATTTTAGATTCTTTATCATTTTAAATGATATCAAATATTTGTTTTTTTTTCCGACACATGTCAATATCTAAAATATGTGCGACCATGTCATCTTACCACCGCAGGAAACACTTTAAGTTGTGATGTATCTACTGTAAGGTAAAACTACCCAGCGCTCCATTACCGCACAAGTCCTTGTTCAGTGTTACTGTTGACACGTTCCAAATCTAGTCCATTCTAAAGTCGCTGTGAAGTGTTCTGCAGCCATAGGTCAATTTTCCACCAAGCTGTATAACAAGCGTGATGATTGCAATTCCCTATTGTAACTTTACATTTCTAAAGAGCAACATACATGGTTCCCAACTCATGGTGTTTCAGAGCTTGACCCACATACATAGTGAACTCGGCTGTGACGATTTTAAAGCGTCAAGTGGTTTTATTGACCGTTTAAAAGAAACGGAGGGGTATCTCAAGTCGCAGGGGAGGTTCATCAGTGTGCGAGGAAACTGCAGAAGCGCGGGAGAAGGGGGGACTGTCACGGGGAAAGAAAAGTTAGTAGCGGGTGAGGACATCGTAACTACTGACCAACAGACACAAAATGACATAATTGACGAAGTGAAAACCAAAACAACTGACAAATTACATCCTCACGACTCGGACAGCGATCGAAGCGATACTGAAATGAAAATTCTTTTTCTGAATTTGTGTTAACATTATAAAAAAAAAAAAAAAAACATTCATTGCATCGCGTGATGATACTGACGGTAAAGTCTTTGCATGTGCCACTGATCCGCCTACAACTATTTGAATTTATAAGCCTTGCATTGTAAAGACAAAATGCATATTTGATTTATAGACTCTAAAACATTAATAGGGTTTCAATTTAATTCCTCTGTCTTTCCAGTAATTGTTTTGTCTAGTTTTGAATGTGCTGAATAAACAGGCTTCCAAGTCTCCATCTATTACACTGTTTCAGTCATTTATCACTCCGACACGATTTTTTCTCCTTTTAAATATCTATAATTATCCCTCTTCCTGCATTTGTGGAGCTGACAAATAGATCTTAAAGTGACACAGAATTCTGATGCTTGAGACTTCCACCACTTTATGTAAGAATTTATGAAGTAATTTGTTCTACACGATTTTCAACAGTGTGAAGTCTTTACTGTTCTTGAGATCTGCAAATATCCTTCCATATAAGGAATGTAGAAAACAATATTTTGTATATTTTGTAGATCCACATTACCAAAGTGATTTCAATCATTTATAACGTCATACAGTTTCACTGGAACCTCAGCACATCCTGTGCAGAACCAGAGCACCATAGTATAAAACTAGTTCGTTTGGTGAAATATTGCCTTGAGAAACATATCAAAAACACAAGAGAATAATATTGCCAGGTTGTTTTAGTTGATCACCTTATTTCTCTAATGAAAATCGACTTTGAACACTAAAGTGCTCTTTTCAATAACTCCCCCTTGTGTTTTCTGGTAAACAATGATAATATGTCTGCCAAACATCAAACCCTTAAATATGAGTCTTACAACTTAACAATCAGACCTCATATCATTTTGTGTTCATTGTTAACACCTTGGATGAGCATTCCAAAACAAGAGTTTTGTCATTGCCCAAACATTCCCACTGTTACAACACTATAAATCAACAAAACACAATTCTATTGCACTGTTTTACTGAATTCATCATAAAATACAGAGCAGCAACATCTGGAGACCATCCTCTGATTCCTAAGCTGTACCAATGCTGTTAGCCTGGAATTCATTTTACAATTTCTACTTCTAAAGCTTTATCAAAATATAGACTGATGGTAACAGATCTGTCTTGTACACTAAGTTATCTGTATAGACCTAATATATACAATAACCTCTCAAGTTTTACAACAAAGAGTATGAGACTCTGTAAAAAAGACACAAGTGAATAGCGTCTTTAAATACAAATTTAGAATTAAAATACAGCTGTCTTGTCCCTCTAGGATTCGTCAGTGATGCTAACGGTCTATATGTTAAAACCTAGAAGGCGAATGAGGAAAATTCTAATTCAGATTTTGGTCTTAGGCCTTAGAATTGACCTCTACCAATTCTTTTCTTGCTTTTTCATTACTGATAAGACACAGAGAATGTCACAATCTGTAGGTGTTCCTGGTGTTCAAACTAGATTTTGTTATCCTATGTTATCACTATTACCTACTGTGCCTGTTTTATAATTGGTTCTAGTTCTTTTAATGCTATCTAGTTCTTCCAATATGTTTTCACTTTTTTTTTCTGTGTTTCTGTTCCAGTTTTACTCCTTTGAATTACATCTGATCCAGTGCTTATATTTGGCCAATTTCCGAACTTTGTGTTAGCAAATACTATAAACCAGATTTCTCTCAATGCTACTAGTTCTGCAATTTCCAAATTTTGTATTCATAACCATTCACAAAACAGACATCACATTCAATATAATATCAATATAATCTTAGTGTATCTTTTATCTTAATTCATGGTTACTAATTTCAATTTGTTTTGATCACAAAATTACACAGCAAAGTAAAAACAGCTTATCACACACACACAGTATGTAAAATAGAGATTTACATTTGATGGCCTGATATTCTGTAAAAGGTCTTACCTATGTGTTTTACACTTATCGTTTTGTACACAGCATCACCTGTATCTATTGTAGCTATTTGTTGTCTGTTTATGTCTGATTTTTTCCTTTTGATCGTCATTGTTTCATCGTGATGTCACTGATATTTTTACCCTTTTTGTAATTGCTTCTCATATACAACCTTGATTAAAATGTCTTGTACCATGTAAACTATCTACGATCCAGACAAATTACTAGTTTGTGTCTGTTCTAGACAGAAAGAACAGCACATAACAGAGGCTGCCACATCTTAAAATCTCTATCACCAATGTATCATCTTTTGTTTCGTTAAAACATCCAGAAATTTGGAGGCATGTTTGATTGTCGTAAGACTTTCTTAGTGATGGATAGGTCTACATACATGCTAATAAGGAGGCAGACTGAGACCATTCAAATGTTTTAGTATGACAATGTTGATGATGGTCAGTCTCCACCATTTCCTGCGATATCCACTTCCTCCTTGACATCGTTATCTTCCACTTTAACATCACAGTCCATTTCATTGTTTTCTTTTGCGTTTTCTGTGCCTGTGTTTCCTCCGTCGCAGTTGGTTTCCTCTGCATCACTAGAATCATCAATGTCCTCCTTCAGATCGCTAATCACAGATTCTGCCATTTTTCGACGCTCTCTTTCTTCTTCATGTTCTTTCACTGTGAAGGAAAAGAAAAGATGAACTTTACAATTTTTATCAAAACTGCTTTGAAAATGTTCTTTTCTGATGTAATCTATGCCTTAAGAATTGTTCTATCACAACCATCTTTTTGCTTCTACATATCAAAAACCCAACCTTTTTAAAGCCGTTTTTTATCTAACAGCATGTCTGGTTCTAGACATTCCATCCATTGTTGGATGTGAATGTGAGTTCTTTATAGTTGTTTTCATGAAACATTTTTTGGCCATGAACAACAACATATATCTTGGTAGCTATGTAAATGTATGTGAGTGTAAAGAGCAAGAGATCACCAGTTCGATCCCAAGTGTAAGCAGGGCATTTTCTATTGTTTTAATATTTTTATGGGTACCCTAAGTTGACATATATTTATGAACTATACACAATACATTATGTATAGATGACACCATGACTGCCCCACCTCCCTATATGTGTATGGTTTTAACCTTTTTAACCAGCTCAAAGGATATATGTATCAATATTTGTATTTAATATGCCTTAAAGTATCAGAGAAAACCCACATTCATTATTGCATAAAAACACTGTCTTGATCACTACAGTGGAACTGTATGGTTTTCTGCAAATATCTTTTACAATGTTCTGTTATCTTTTACAATATTCAGCAAATATCTTTTACAATATTCTGCAAATATATATTAATTAGATTTAAAATGTAAATAGAAGAACAATAACTCCCTTACAAATAAACTTGGTGGAAGGAACTACATTTCTTGCTTTGATATAACAGTAACTATGCCTATGTTACATTATATATAATTTACAGGGAAGATGTTGTTCTCTCTTCAATCTAACTCCCAAATACTCATGTAGGAAAGGCTTTATATGTGTATATTGGTCAGGTTCACCAATAAATCTTCAGTTTAAAATCATTACATATGTATAAGGAATGATGTTTTCAACATTCATGAGGCCATAACAACAACAGCTATCACAGGGAAAAAAGTGATGCTCATACTATTTACCAGTTATTGGTCCTGGCATGGAACTTGCTTTCTATGTTGACAGCACTAATCTAAAGGAACTTACTGTCACATAGATATCACCTTATATATAGTTGTTGGTGGCCCAAAAAAGTTCGGAGACTATCCCTGTAAAGGACTTGTATTCACAGCTCACATTCACATCTGACGATTGATCGAAGTGTCTCGTACGCCCACCTATGTACACTCCTGTCTAGAATTACTAAAACTTTTTCATTGTCCTGAAATAAGCCCACAATGGAAACTGTCAGAAATATCATACGGACTCCCTGGGCTAAACACAGTATTTACCTAGTTCCTCTAATTCAAGCCCAAACAGCCTGAGGTAGTGGGTTCGTTCATGCTTGCCAACAAATGGCCGTGTAGAAGTCTTTCCTTTCCATCCGCACACAATAATATCACAGGCTGGTTCTGCATCACTGTAACAGAGAGAACCTTGATGTCATTCTAACAGCTATTGCTGGATCATATCACAGAATGTTGTTTCAGATTGTTAACACTTTTGTAGTTTTACAAGCAGCTTGAAGCAAACAGGATGTATTTTTCACAGAATCATGAAACCAATTTTTTTCTATGTATCTGATCAAGCTTAGAGTTGGAAATAACAACTTTTATGGAAATACAAGATTTCCTGCGAACTGTATGTGTTGCCTGCATAAAGTGTCATGCTCATCCTGAAATCGAACTGGATGTCAAAACTAATCCCTTCCAACAAGAAGCCATATACCAAATTTCATTTCTATAACTCGAAGCATAACCAAAGAAAAGTCCAGAAAACAATATTCCCAGAGAATTTTCTAAGTTCAAAGGAGCATAACTCTGCCAAGAAGGTTCACAGACAGCCGGGAATTAAACTTAATCTGTACCCTTCCAACAAGAAGCCATATACTAAATTTCATTTTGATAACTCAAAGCATGACCGAAAAAAGTTAGGAAAACTTTCGTACGGACGCCACCGATGTGTGACAACGGACAAAGTGAGTCTGCAGACGACACAATAATGATGTATCCGGAGTTCGGTCGTTTAATAACAACCTCTGTAGAACTCCAACCACGTATCTAGTGTTGGGTGTAAGTGGAAACGAAGTGAGGCAACAGGAGTAATAAACATCATAGTTTGTACATTGAAAATCAATTTCTAGAGTAATACTAGTGGATATCTATCAACTATGATTTTGAATTTTTAAATCTTTTTCTCATCATTTTTCTTTTAACTGTATCTTATCAATTCAAATCCATTTAGTGGAAATACTTCTTTATAATGCTGAATTCAGAATAAGTAAAAACAACCTTACCTGTTTGTAGGGCAGTACTTGAAAATGGCACTTCCTGGTTCTTAAAAAGAAAACATCCAATAAATTTGGTTTTCTTGTAACACTATGCATAATAACACATCTCATTTCACGTAAGGGCAGATGTGGAACTGATGTCATACAATGATACATATTATTGTAGGAACCCAACACTAGAGAAATATAAACAGTAGCAAGTAACAATCATCAGAATCATGAAATTAATTCATTTACAGAACTACTTCAATAAGAGTCAGGGTTAATATGTTCTGGTTACTGTACCATCTACAGAGTACAGTACTTAAGTTACAGTTAAACACTGCCATATCTTATAAACTACAGTAAATAACACACTTACTGATCTTTCTAAACTGCTCCCTTGCATCCTCTGTAAAACGCTCAAAGTAAGGGTTGTCCTGTGACAGTAAAGTAAGCATATCTTCTCGTCCGAAGTGGAGTGTCCGTCCCAATATCATATTGTGCAAGGCTCCAAGACCCTGTAAGAAAGTGGCAGAAAAAATAAACAGGAGTTTCCACAACCATATTATCTTTATCTGTTCTCTATCAGTTGAATATATCACTTCTTTTCAGACCATTCCAAATTCCAAAATCAAGAGGCTACAACTAGGGACCAAGGGAACCTATATATGAAATTTGAGAATGATCAAATCAATGCTTCGTCGGACAAATTTTAATAGTAATAACCTACAAATGTCAAATATAAACCTGGTAGTCTGTCAGCCATTTAGTTTTTCTGATCAGTCTAAAAGCAATTCTCAAGAAACAATGATAACAAACATTAACTGTGACCAAGATGACTACCATTTTGTTTTTAAACATGTACAACAAGGAATCAAAAGGAGTCTACATCTAAAATGTCAGAAATATCCATTAATTACTGCTGCCAGCTACTCACCTCTTGGTTCAGCCTGAAGTCACATTCTGTTACTAAGGGAGATGGACTTCGTCCAAAAGCTTTCACACCAGTGTTTATAAACTAAAGAAATAAAACACTTTATAATTCTCTTGATATTTCTACACATGTTGCTAAGATCTTTAACTTTGGATGATTTTTTTCCAGAATTACAGAATTTCAAATCAAGCATCTTTCAGAATTCAGGATCTCAGATTTTGTTTAAAGCTAATTTAGTAAAACATATTTAGATGTTCTTGTCACTGAAATCAATTAATATTTTACAAAGATTGCTATAAAATTAAACCATGACACCAAGTCTTTGTAGTATATGTATTTACTTCTTTTTTTCTTTATATTGTCCACATCATAAGTGCTTTAACACTGCAGGAAACATAATCAGATCAGTTTGATATAGGTGGGTGAAATACTGTCATCCTACCTTCACTCTGCCGCAATTTCTCTTGAGTAAATTACGTATAGATTTTGACACATAATAAAGTGACCGAATCCTTCCCGAGTCAGTGCGATACAAAATCTGGTCTGTTGATAACTTCTCACCCACATTGTAAAATTCTCTGTAAATAATGTTCAGATTTCAATCGAAGTTCAAATAAACGAAATCTTACAGGAGCATAATATCATAAATCAAAGATGTAAAGATCAAATTAACCTCCAGAAAATGTACTACCAATGTCGTAGAAAAACACTCACTCGGTTAAGCATAAAATATTTGTCAGATTAGCACAGCAATAACTTTGATCATGAAAAAAGATTTCTAAAAATTTCTCTACAGACAATTTATCATATATACCTTATAGGCGTAAACAATGGGTCATCATTTGTCAGGAACAGGAATGGATCTTCTTTATATCCTTGCATACGCTTGTTGTGCTTTCCAGCAAATGCCCTAAGTAAGGAGAAAATCATTGTAAAAAGTGATTTCTGGCAGAATAAACCAGAGATATGTTTCTCATAGGATTATCAATATCTTTTTTTTCTTCTTTTCTTTACTCAGAATTTGGTTCTTTACAAGTTACTTACAAAGTATTCATTTAATATATATCATTATACATGTAATTAAACATTACAGACAAATATAAAACATATACAAAAGCTGAACAACTGAAGGTTTATTAATACCTTGTTACCTACAGCATTAGTAAACCTGTTGCCTCAAAACAAAGAGTTTCAGTGATTAAGATTGAGGACTAGCAAACCTGTCACCTCATAACAAAGAGTTTCAGTGATTAAGATTGAGGACTAGCAAACCTGTCACCTCATAACAAAAAAATTCAATAATTAAGATTGAGGACAAACAAACCTTTCGGCAGTTTTGCCTCATAACAAAGAGTTTCAATGATAAAGATTGAGGACTAACAAACCTGTTGCCTCATAACAAAGAGTTTCAAAGATTAAGATTGAGGAATAACAAATTACAAATAAAGAGTCTTACCAATCTGGAATTGGGACCTATATCCAACTCCATTTATACAGGCAGATAAAATATCAACTGTATCATAATTTTCCTTGCCAGCATTGCCATTGATATTTACAATATAATCATAAACTAGATGATAAAGCATATGATATGACATTGCCCTACCTATCATTTGGGTGCTGATTTTCAGCTTTTCTTTTCTCTCCATGTGTCTCTGTAACAGGAGTTATATCTCCTGTGCCTCTTTTTCCTGTCTCAGCATTTTCTGCAGTATTGATATCTGTGCCATTTTCTGTTCTCTGTGATGAAGTTTCCATTGCAGTACTGGTCTGTTCCTCACATGGCCCTCCAACAGCCTGATCCTTACTTTCCTCACTTGAAGGTTCTGTTTATAAATGTAAGGATTTAACATTTGTTAAGATTTACTGGTTGAACCTCATTTTACCTCTTTGTGTTGACTGATTGTAATTACCATTTCCATAGACTTTCCTTTTCTTTGACAAATATTGAATATGTAAACCTCAACAATTTTCTCGATACTTTAACTGGTTTTGATTCATCTTGCTGGGAATAATTTTATATTCTGTATAATTTAGCAGTAAAGGCAACCTAAACAATAACACTTTTCAGTTTCAGTTTCTCAAAATTCTCATCAAACTTCAATGGCACTACTGGAACTGAAGCAAAAGTTTAAAATGTTCTTATTGGAAAAATAACAACACTTTGGACCCTCTCAAGATCAGTTAAGGCATGTCAATCACAGAATCTATGATTTAGTGAGTATAAATATCTTTATCTGTTGGTTATATTGCTTCACAATCTATGTCATTTATACATGTCGGCAGAGCTGTCAAGAATAGCCTAGTTGAGTTAAGCAATATTGATTATAAAGGTTAAAGGGTAAGTAGCTTGCAAGTGTCATGAAAAAGGTATTGTGCCAATGAATTCAGTAAGCCAGTGTCAACACACGCATACCATCAAAACTGTCATCCTTTACTGACAATTCTTACAAAGTTTTTTCCCAACGGGAACGTTATGCTCAAAAATGCTATTTTTCTAAAAAAATTTACAGTAAAATTAATCTCCTCCCATGGCAGATATGTTAGACCCATTTTGGTAATTAAAGCACCGTAAGACACTTCCATATATAAACAGCATTTGATTCTACCATACCTGGGTGTTGAGATGAAGATTTTTGAAATTTAAGTCAATTTGACCCCTTTTGGCCCCAACCATCAGCCCCTGGAGGTCAGTCAGGATCAATATATGCATACCATAAAGTCGTCATCCTTTGCTCATATTTCTAACCAAGTTTAAAGTATTTCCAATGGAAATTTAACAAATTATGCACAAAAATCCAGTTTTCCTACATCAACTCTTGTAACTTTACCCTTCCCTGCGAGGAAATGCGAAACCCTGGGGCCATGAAATATATGGGTGTTGAGAAGATTTTTGAAATTTGTTTAAATCTGACCCTTTTGGCCCCATCACTCAGGTCTCTTTGGGTGGGGACCGTATAATTTACTATTTTGGTTAATTGTACACCAGGGAAGATTTCAGCAAAATTTCTTTGAAATCGGTTTAGGGAAATTGTCACTGTGGCTTAACATTTGCCTGTATTTTTCCTTTAGCCATTAGTTAAAAAAACAAAGGCAATTGGAAGTTCTATGTTAAAGCTGAAACATGTATATGTATTTATCAAAATGAATCAAATAACAGGCATTAGTGCTTTCATTCTTGAATCTTAATATTATCAATTTGCAAGGCAATACTTCACAAAAAAAAAATTGTGTTGATTTAATTTACATATATATAAATATATACATGTTGTTTTTAAACAATATATATATATATATATATATATATAGAGAGAGAGAGAGAGAGAGAGAGAGAGAGAGAGAGAGAGAGAGAGAGAGAGAGAGAGAGAGAGAGAGAGAGAGAGAGAGAGTTTTTTAAACAATATATACATATATTTATATAGTTTTGTATCTCAAGGTAAATTTAACACATTACAAAAATGTTATACCTGTTGCCTTTGGGGGTGTCTGCCAAGGAAGGTGATGTTTCTTTGTGAGTACAGCTATAAAGAATCCCCCTGTATCCTGGTGGTGTGGAAGAACACGGACACTGACAGAAATAAAACAACTGAATTATACTCAAAGTAAAAACAGCAATGTTGATGTCACTACTGAAAATCTTTGTGAAAGTTAGAAGCATGTAATCATTACCTTTTAAAAAGAAGGTTTTCAATAAAGTAGACTGCATTGTATAGGTATTGACATTGATCATGTGATACAAAAAAATCCTGAATTATTTCATTTGTTTATATTTCACAATTGATGAATTTAATTACAAAAATTTCCTGTTTCCTCATTAAAATGATAAATCTTTAAATTCATAATGTTCATATGGAAACTTGATCAACTGATATGAAAACCTTACAAATTAGCTCCAAATATGTGTAAGACATTTTGATATGCCAAAATCTGAATTTCCAGAAAACTGGTTACAATTTCATGTGACACAATTGTTGATTCTTTATACCCTCAGCCCTACACATTTGATACAATAAGTAATAATTGATATGGGACAGCTTTTTTATATAGCACTTATATTTAAAGATGTAAAAATTTGTTAGAAAAAATATAGGCAAATGGATAAATAATGCATAAATGTATACAGATCAAAAGAAATACCAATGATTTAGTGACTGCTTTTATGTTTTTAAAGAATTAATTCAGCTGAATGAAGTAAAAAAAAAAAAAATGAATAAATCAAAAAAATAATAATTCTCATTTTTATTTTTTTTATCTTACAAAATAACTACAGTGTATAATTATCTGATTATTGGAATCATCAACAAATCTATGGTTGCTTTACATTATACCAGGACCTTTATTTACCAGCGATCTAGATGCATATCCTTGGCGACCTCCTCAGGTGGACAGAAGAAGGTGGGGTTCATGTTGTTAACGTTATTGTCCTTTGCAGCTTGGTAATTTTCATACCATTGACCCTTGTCTAGGCCGCCAAAGAACAGCTGTCAAAATACATACAAAAGGTAACATATATGGTTAGTTCTGTTATACCAAACATTGATGATTTTCAGACAGTTCAAGTTTATTGTCCACTCTATATCACTGGGATATTTCAACTTCCATCTAGAGTTTGACATTGCTTTGGAGCAAGTTTGATTTTCTTCAGTTGCCTCCTAAGTTTCAAATCCAGGCCCTCAGTAGCATTGATGAATTCTAAGAGGATACAACAGCTGTATGATACATTAACTCATTGTTTGGCACACTACTGTATCAAGTCTAATTTTGTATTAACATTGCTATTCACTTGTGTCTTTTGTACAATCATACAGAGATACTACGTAAAGAGGTCATGACTGGAATCATACAATCTTCATACAATATCAAGAAGAAAAAGTTCAGTAATAGGTAAATTTAGATATGTTCATTATCCTTAAGTGATTTCTAAATGGATTCTAACAAATTTCCACAGCCATGTTACTTTTCCAAAACCCAATTAAAGCAGGATACCATCTTTATACTGACAATCTAATTAATCTACGACAAAATAAATAAATAAATAATAAATCAAATAATAAATAAAAATCCCAATTTTGTTTTAAATTTTAAAACAATAAATTTTCAACTTCCCTTACCTTCCAAGATGTGAGACCATGTACATACTTTAGTCCAGGTAATTCGTCACTGACATCCAACAACTCAACACTACCTGTGAGGTGAAAACCATGAAAAATCTACCTGTCATACCATGTATATTACAGTAACATGACAAATAACTAGAAATAGACTTGAACACAGAAAATGTGTAATTTTGCGATACAAACATAAGCCAAGCAGAAACTTAAATGGATATTGTTGTCAAAATATTTTAAACTGTAATGTACATATTGTACCAGTCTTCAATTTTCATCAGCCTTCATCATACTAAGAAATCTACTGATCCTTTGATTACTGACAATAGTCTTTATAAAATGAATGAGCAAAGCAGGAAAAGGTTGTGAGGGTAATTATTCTATATGACTAGTCAAGACTAGTTTTCTCCGAGAAAAGAAATGTATTAACCTTTACACTGATCCAACATTGTTGCTATAACAGCCTCATCCTCCAATGGGTTAAAGGAACATGTTGAGTATACAAGTCGACCGCCGACAGCTAACAGTTCAAGGCCTCGTCTCAGGATCTTTGCCTGTTGTCTGAAGACAACATCAACATTGTAGTGGTGGACTAATTAGTCACTTTTTCATGAGGTCAACTGATAGATTAACAGACTGTCAGGTATTAATGAGTTAAAAGATGTGGATTCAGTTTGATCTTTTCCATCTCAACAGCTGTCAAATCTTGACAATTGAAGCTCCAACTCCATTTAACGGATCCATAAATACCTTTTTAAACACCAATTTGACAACTCCAATGATCCCTGATAGAGGAATAAATCTGGTGATCTATAATCAACCTGTTCTATTCTAAAAGCATATAATCTAACTAATAAATCTGTTTACCTGTGCAAATTTATAGCTTGATTCATGCTCCATTTGTCCCAGATATCACAATTCTTCCTCATAGTTCCGTCACCACTAGTAAAAACAAAAAAATCCATTCCTGGTAAAAGGATAGTAGAAAATAAACAGTCTTAAGCCATAGAGGACATCTTTACCAAAGCCATAGAGGTTATCTTTACCCAGAAATTTTCTGTAAGCCATTTACAGTCCAACTGCAAATTATAACTCATAGCAACAATTTCTGTAAAGAAAGAAACTGAACAGTAATGTTTATAGATATTGATTACTATTAACTTTGATCAGACATTCAAGGAAAAACTTTGAAAATCATATCATCTTTTTTGAATTTCATCATCTCACCTGCAAGGCACATCACAGAGGACACGATCAAACATGACAAAGTCCTGGGCACCATCCTGGCAACAAACATTACCACACATGTTATTACAAAGCAGATTTTGTGTTACATAAAAGTGAGTAAGTAGAACAAAAACAAAATCAATGTATTTTGGGCCATTTCAGAAGAACAAAAGGATACACAACTTGTTTTGTTCTTGTTTCTGCAATATAATGCTAGCTATTATTCTCAACCCAGTTGGAATATTCGCTGGTTTCCGAGATTTGTGACTTCAAATTTCTATTTTTTAAGCTTAAACAACTTTTTTTACTTGAAAATTAAAACATTAAGAATAATAAAAAACACATTAAATCTAATATTGGCATTCATTTCTATTATGACACATTGACACATCTATCATGTCAGTCAACTTGATACATACCCCACATCTGAGTTTGGGCAGACTTGTGGCATCGTGGTTTATGATAGCACAGCAAGGACTCTGTAGACGTTTCACTTGATGTACCATCAAGTAACATCGCTTGTTGTCTACATCATTAGCAATAACAAACCCCTCTGAAATTTTGTTTTAAACATGTTAAAATTAAGGTGCTAATATACATCCAAAAGTAAAGGAACATGAAACATAAAAAAGATAACCATCAACATTTCTGCTTCAAAGAGTCAAAATTATATTTTAATTCAGCAATTATATTCTGATCCAGTCATTGTATTTCTTTCAGTAAATGTAGTATAATCTTAGTGTTGATCCATGAAGAAATAGTCCTAAAATTACTGATGTTAAAACCAGTGCAGAATATAAAAAATGCAAAAAAGTTGCAAGCAGTAATTTTTTACCTGGTTCTACAGTTGCATCACCAGAATGGAGATATTCAATCAACTGTGAGGTTTTAGAGCCTGGAGCTGCACACATATCAAGCACCTGTTTACACAACAGAAGAGTAAATTGTACAAAGGAAACAATTAACTGTCTCAATGTTCCTTACTTTATACATCGGTACCTACATCCAATTACTGAGAAAACATGGAGATACATGAAGTATGAGACTATCAGCTGAGGAAATATAGACTAAAATCAACAAAGACATTATGTCTGGATGAACCACAATAAGTGTTAAGGGAATATATAGATAACAAACATAATTATTACTAACTTATAGAACATTCTATAATTTTTCTTTAGAATTTATGCTTATATATACAATAGGGATATAAGTTAATTAGACGTATCGTTCATAACTGATAAGCAATGCCACATTGTCAGTTATAAAGATCCATGGTGATTGTCCAGGATCAGCTATTTATAGAAAATGTTATTAAAGTAAGGATAAGAATTTGCTCAAATGCTGCCCTAATGAAGCCTGCTAAAAGGCAAAAGCAGTAGAATAATATTATAAACTAAAGAAACCCTATGCTGAAGCTGTTACGAATGTTTACCTTGTAAAAATTAACAAGATTTGTTTACCCTGTAAAAATTCACAAGATTTGTTTACCCTGTAAAAATTAACAAGATTGGTATACCCTGTAAAAATTAACAAGATTTGTTTACACTGTAAAAATTAACAAGATTTGTTAACACTGTAAAAATTAACAAGATTTGTATACCCTGTAAAAATTAACAAGATTTGTTTACCCTGTAAAAATTAACAAGATTTGTTTACCCTGTAAAAATTCACAAGATTGGTATACCCTGTAAAAATTCACAAGATTTGTTTACACTGTAAAAATTAACAAGATTTGTTTACCCTGTAAAAATTAACAAGATTTGTTAACCCTGTAAAAAATTAACAAGATTTGTTTACCCTGTAAAAATTAACAAGATTTGTTTACCCTGTAAAAATTCACAAGATTGGTATACCCTGTAAAAATTCACAAGATTTGTTTACACTGTAAAAATTAACAAGATTTGTTTACCCTGTAAAAATTAACAAGATTTGTTTACCCTGTAAAAATTAACAAGATATCTGAGAAGGATATAGGATCCAACATGACCTTATTAATTAGATGTAATTTTGATCATTTCTCTTCTCTTCTTTTTCGTATATCTTTGTACCGACAGATAAGTCAACAGTGAATGTTCATATCAATTAGTTTAATATCATTCTTTCTAGGTAACATTGTCATTCAACTTAATGACCAGTGCAATGATGTGTGTGGTAGATAAATAAAGTTTTTGTTTTTCAAAGCTTTTCTCATGATTTCCTCACAATTCACAATGAAAAATTACAGAAGTAAAACTTCTTCCAAATGGCCTCAGAGGGGTACAAATTCATATTATGAATTAAATTGGGGAAAGATCCATTCCTTAAGAAAATGTAAAAACAAGAACTGTTTAAGGTTGAGGCAGACTATGGCTGAAAGGCAATCTGATGGGCTAAAAATACCTTATGGTGAGGCTTGATGTCCATAACCAAGGGAGGGATCATTGATACAGCTTCCTGACGACTGATGTTTCCCTACAAACAACAATCATACAACTGATATTCAATTCTGTATGATTATGTTAATATTGTAACATTAGTGATTACAAAACCCTTGTACACCTAGTGTTTTTGCTGTATTGTCCAAATCATTGACTAGTCTTTAACTTGCCTTATGATGGATAACAAAGAAAGTCCACAACAGAATGATGGCAACACAAAACATGAATCCTATTAATTTGTTACAACTATACCAGCTATAAAAGGAATCCAACTGAAACTCTATTGCAGCTCATTTCACTAATTACATTGGATAACAAAAAATCTATTTCTATAACCTTATATAGGAATATTGAGAAATCAGCAGCAGAACTATTAACCAGTATCAATCATGCTGCATGGCATTAGAATCATGGAACAAAATATATTAAATACAATGAATCTTTATCCACATTACTTAGAACTTAATACATATCTGAAAACTCACACTCTCTGTCTCATACACCAGGAATTTTTTAAGTTTTTCAAGGCGGGCAACATGTCTGACTTCCTTCTTGGACAGGTTAATTTGCCAGCCTAATTCATCAGGATACCTTAGTAGGAAAAAAGAACTTAATAAATGTACATTAGGATATAACATCAAAATTGGCCATAACAGAAACAAAAATATATCTTCATATATATACATCAGAATATAGCTTAAAAACTTAACGGACACAATTAAAGAGAAAATCTTTCCACACCAGAAGATATATGATAATTAGAAGTCTCTTTCCATCTGTGTGTCTTTGATACCTTAAAAACTCACTTGAGTTAAATATTCTTGTTCATTTTTTCAAGAATGGAGCAACATTATAACCTGATATCCATGCCACTTTCATTAAGTAAAGCAGTTCATCATACCATGTGAGATTCTTGGGCACCAACTTCTCATGTTCTTCATCATCATTCTCGCTAGATTTCATTAAGTCATTCAGATATTCCCCTTTTACTATTTTCATTAACTCTCTGGATTGTCTGGAAAAACAATGCATTGCAATGTTAAACTATAAAACTCAATAGTTAAGAAATAACTTTCAAGTAACAAATTATGTAAAATCAACCTACCGTACTGCAAATAAGCCCCCTCCCGCAAATAAGCCCCCCACCAATTTTTCCAATTTGCCAGGAAAAGGGGGGGGGGGGGGGGATTCGCAATTAAGCTGCCCCCCCCCCCCCATTTTTTTAAAAAAAAAAAAAAAAAAAAAAAACCAACATGTGCAACGATAAAGCAGCACTTACATTTAATTGCCAGGTGTAATTATTAGGGGCTTGTTAAGTTAATCTTTATATTCATAGTTTTGCTCAATTAATACGCTTTTGTTTTCATTGGTTAAAAAACTTGCAAACAATACAATAACAAAAACATTTCGTTCTTCAACCTAAAACTACCCACCCTCATGGAACAGACCATTGTTTCAGTCAGTCTGATACCATGGCAACAAAAAAACCATGAACTTTTCCACATATATTCCTGTATCCTTTGGTTAATACAAAGTTTCAATATTTCTTCTTCCGTGTATGAATATTCCATAAAAGAAAACCTCAAATGTTTGACAAAGAATGGCAAAAGGACCTTATTTCAAATAGACATTTCACAGAGGAATATTCAAACCTGTTGAAGACTACTGTGTCCTACACTGACAACATCATATCATTATACCCATGTTAGAGAGAGAGAGAGAATCGTTATCTATGTATACTGATATAATGATAAGCATGAAGGATAAACAGTCAACATTACAACACCCTATTCCTAGCTTTAAAAATACATGTATATTGTTGGCATATTCATTAGAATAACTAATAGGATAAATTCTGTTATAACTGTATATTATATCTTCTTTCATTATATCCAAAATACTTGGTAACTACTCTGCAGATTATTTCTATGTCTCTAAATCTGTTGAAAACAATTGTTTTTACTCAAACTAAGTGAATATCAATTCCTTAATATCTAGATAAAATTACTGTTTATATTAAATAAGAATTACCTGTAAAATGTAGAAACAATTTAAAAGATTTCATAATTTATCAACGATAGAGATAAATCTTTAAAAAATGTAAGATCATATTCGTATTCCTGACTGCTCACCCTTTGAAGCCGGTGATCCTAAATGTGACAGGCAGGGGTTCCTGAAGAGTCTTGAGGAAGCTATCCCATTCCCCTTCAGGCACCATTCCGACACCCTGTAGCAAAGGTCAGAGGTCATAATCTATACACAACACAGTGATTTATTTGCAGTATTTATGTACCCGGGGTATGTGCTTCAATGAAATATGTGAAGTAAAAGGTGGAGATATATTTAAAATACAAATTATTTCACTTTTTTGTTCTTCATAATACTGAAAATTAACAAATGCAATGAATGGATTTTGCAAACTCCTCCTTCTTTCAGTTCCCTATAGAGTTGTATATATTTACATATAATATTCATTTAAGGTAAAGAAAACACAGTTGCTTTAATCACAATTTTAAACATTAGTGAATTTTCAGGCAGAAATTAGATGACAGCATGAAAAATGCTTTGAAGAAAACAAAGAATTGCCAGTATATTCATATATCACGTAACATTTAGTACTCTATTTTTTAAAAGCCACATCTTTTTCCCTTATGAATACAAGTACCTGCCCGTCACATGTTTGTGACTGAAACAGATTATCTAGAACCAACATCATATACAGGATGATTTGAAGATTGAAATAAAGATAACGCTCTCATGAATTTAATTAATCATACCTTTTAATATGAATCACAATAATATCTTCTGAACTTTCACAGTCATTTTCAGTTTACAAAAATATGGTATGTTTAATATAGTTAATAATATAAACTGCTGCATTTTGTTGTTTTTGCTATAACACTGTTTCAATGATCAAAGCTCTTGTTTACTTATTAATATATATATATATATATATATATATATATAACTATTTATCAACAGTTAATTTTATTGTTAACACATGCAAACTATTTTTAATAGCCAATAACAAGCTTAACCATGTTTAATAATATACACATCAATATGTTCTTTTATTATATGAATTCATACAAATGTGCATGATTTAAAATATTGATAAATTTGTAATAAAAATTCAGTGAAAAGGATGAAATGTAATTCTTTTGATTTAAACTATTTGCCAGTCAGCTTTGAATTCAACTCACCTCATTTCACTCCATTACACATTGAAAAAATTGCAAAGAGAAAGTTGGATTTCTTAATCATATTTTTAAAGGGTGACCTTATCTTGGGGCTTCAAAGTAGTAATGAGGATGGGTCTTGAAATGAAAATCAGTATGTCAAACGTCAGTTCCACTTATAATGTCTGTATATAAGGTACCAAACTTGGTTTCCGCATCATTCAATATCTATACAATAACAATTTCCAATAAGAGAAGCAATTCATCTCTTTCAAACTTAATAGTCATACACTTTTGAAATAAATTGTATGCAGATTTCATGACAAATTCTTGGTCAAACTGTGAACCAATCAGACCGGTCACTACCAGAATAATGGACAACAGTATGTTATGTGTCCCCATCAGGCCTTGAAATGTTAGGAGCATAATAAAATCCTTCTTTGAGTATATTACAAGATGAAATGGTATGATTTGAATCAGTTTTAGTTGCCTTTTTTCCCATCAGAAAAGCGATCATTAATTCCTGTGTATTTACGTAGTGTCATTTTCATCGATGGAGGAATGAAGGAGGTAGCTTAAGACAGGTGACTATTTATAACAAGTGATCCGTAAAACTGATTTAACTGTACATACATATGTTAACAGTACACATAGGTATCAGAACAAACTTTACTTGCACTTACTGAATAAAATTTCTCAAACAATTCATTCCTGCGGACAGATAGATCATAACTGCCTCGACCTTGATTCTGGGGCTGAAAACAAAAAAACAACAAGAAGCCATATATATTTTGCTCTCTGCCCAAACGACTTAACAACACTACAATGTTTAGCATACAGTGACTTACACACCCATCACACAATTATAACCTATAGCTAATGCTGTACAGCACTGATCATATGTACATCATTGATGCAAATATTAGCCAACTCTTGTATCACTCATAGTTAGCATCAAACCACAGAACCCCTAGATGGTCTAGTCATGCAAGAATAAGCCCTGTATCAGTAATGTCCTAAGAGTTGTCTCGATTTTTGTAAATATCATAAACTTAATCACCTCCATTGCTTATAAACTGTTTATAGTGTGGCTAAAATAGCACACGTGCAAATTCATGCTCACCTAAGACATTTGCACTATATGCTCCCTATAGCTTGCACTAGTACTGTAGCCAATGGAGAAGTTGGTGACTACAATGTCATTTTAACACAAAGTTATAGAAATTAACATATACAGTTATACATATTTTTTTCACATTGGTTATCGGATCATGTTAAAAATCTAATGCCCATTTTTGCTGCAAATTTTTATAAGAACTTAATATATTTCTTTTGTAAATGGACCCTGCATTGCAGTAACTAACCGATTACTCAATGCAGTCTAGTATAGTTCCAGCCCTCAAAAGCTTATCAGAGATGTTACGTGACATTAATAGTGTAAAGTGCCTGAATGAAGACACTTCTGGGTTACTTCCTATTTTATTCCAAACATAAAGTTATCAACAATCTAATTATCATTATTTCATCCTTGCTGTAAATAAACACCGAGTAAAATATATTGAGTACACGTGTGAAGTACACTCAAGCCGAGTTAATATTGTACATATATTATAAAAATATAAATAAATCTCATTGTGAAAATCATAAAAACCTGTCGTTTCTTTCTGCCTGCACGTTTGTTCCGAGGCATCGCTGTTGACAATCGACGTGAAGCAGATATTATAAGTGACGAAATATGTGCGACTTTTGCAAAACAAACCAGCATGGGTACAAGAGACCGGAAGTTAAAAAACGACGATAGCGCCCCAGAGATGTCTGCAGATAACTCTGGCAAATCCGTTACTAATCACGCGCTAGGTTCTGAACGCATAGAGAGTAATTATCGTTATTATTACTATCTTACCGGCCATTCAACACATAAAACGTCATTAGGGTCATCAACCGGTAAAACACACAGCGATCCAAAAAGGAAATAACATCAAACAAAAAGGTAAAAGACAAATGCTAAAAATCTATTATCACAAAAGATTAAAATGGTAAGTCCTAGTCTATAATATAGACAGAGACGTCTCTGATATAGACCAACATCTTTCAGATAAACAATATTTTTTTTCATAAATCTAAAGAGTTTCAAAAAAGGGCCTTTAGTTTTGAAAGGCTATGATAAAAACATTTTCGAGACGACAGAAGGCCGATGCAGTCCAATAAGAAAGTTTAACGGTAGATGGTTCATCACATCCTATGCACCGAGAATTATCTTCGCCTTTCATTTTATGTGAATGCGTAAGGCATATAGAATGAAGTTTAACAACATCATGTGGTAGCGATAAAGCTTGCTTTACGGCACGGTCTGCTTTTCAATATCCTGGTATTTTCATGTGTCAAGGAACCCAACAAAAAACAACACAAAAGTTGAAGGCAAGTTTATGATTTTTAATGTTTGAATGTATTGAAAATATTTTTGATATTTCTACTGCTAATACTTCGTAGTACAGAAAGAGAGTGACTAAATATCAGCTCTCATTACTTTGTTTGAATTCAAGGGCGAGGTAGATAGCTCGCGCTTCCGCCGACAATATGGAGGCGTTGTTCGGGAGCCAGCATACATACGTTTTATCTTGTGTAACCATGGCCGTGACAACCTTATCATTATTTTTGAACCATAAGTATATAAATGTAGAAATGTTTTATATTTTAACTGCAATATCGAGAAGGACGAATGAAAGGTGCAACTGTCAGTGTCTGATTTAACCATTTCCTGAAGTGAAAAGTCAACTTCAGGTGAATTCAAGAGCCAGGGTGGAATTTCTATCCTTCCAAATGAGTGAATTTGGTCAATATCAGTATTTATGTTTTGTAAAAGAGCGGAAATACCGAATGGGGGAATGGTCTTTGGTTTGTATTGAAACAAGGTTTTATATTTTGGATCAAATATAAGTGAAAAAAACATTATTTGAAGGATTTGACTATAGCTGAATGGTGTATGATTACAAAGCCAATTTATTTCGATGGCTTTATAGTGATGGTTCGTCAGCCTGTACATAGAGGTTTGCTGTAGGTGTGGTCTTTAAAGCTCCGAGAGCGAGCCTGAGACCCTGGTGATGAACAGTGTGTAATTATTTGACATATGACGGTCCAACAGATCCATACACAATGGAACCCTAGTCTAATTTTGATACAATAAGAGCTCTAAAAAGTCTTGGCAAAACTTTTTTATCAGCTCTCAAACCAGTGTGGGACATCACATTTAAAATGTTCAGTGCCTTAAGGAATTTGGCTTTAAGATACTTTATATGTGCAAAGAACAATAATTTCCTGTCGAATATTACGCTAAAAATTTGGTTTGCTCAACAACCAGAATGGTACATCACAAAGAGAGAGATTTTGATCGTCGTGTTGTTTCCGTATCTGACAAAAATGCATATACACTGTTTTTGATTTTGAAAATTTAAATCTATGATGTTTTGACAATACTGTTAATATCAAGTCCAAAATGTGTAACCGAGAGAATGCTGCCTCATGGTACACCCATTTCCTGCTGATGAACATCGGAAAGGGTCGTTCCAATCTGGACTTGAAATATTCTAATAGAAAATTTGAACAATATTTGGTAGATTACCTCTAATACCTATTTTTCATTATGCCGTATTTCCACGTTGTGTCGTAAGCCTTTTCTTAATCGAAGAAAACAGCAACCAAGTGCTCCTTCTTTGGAAAATCAGCACGCAAACGGGTTTCAAGTCTAACCGTTAGTACCTCGCTTAGATCTAAAACTGCTTTGTAAGGGTGATATTATCTGATTGGATTTCAGATACCAAATTAACCTTGAATTTATCATCCGCTCTAGAGTTTTACAAACGCAACTCGTGAATGATGTTGGCCGGTAACTGTAGGGATCTGTCGTATATTTGCCCTGTTTAGGGATAGGAATCAGAGTTGCCTTTTTTCACGACTTTGGGACATATCTAATCTAACAGAAGAAAATGTTTTATTTTTTTGGTCATCATTACGTATTTTTTTAATGTAATTGTGTAAGTGAACTGTGTAAATCTTGCAAATAGGAATTGTGATTATTTAAAGAAATAATTTTATGTTTTTTTGTTTTTTGTCAGTAATATAATAATATTTCGTCATAAAAAACTGTAATGATTCTGCTTTTTCTTGCAAAATACCAACAATGTCAGTTATAGTCCGTTGTCAAAATATCACGGCGTTTATGTACAAAATGTGCATTATACTTTACGGGCGAATGCCCATGTCGAAATTGGTTGGTCGCGTATCACTTTATTATAAACTAACGTGGATATCTAATCACATGTACAACTTTTGAGGATGCACTGCGTAATATCATACAAACACCCATTAAAACATATGAGGGTGATAGCGAAAAAACACACTTGAAATGGACGCGTGTACGATCCTAAAAGTAATCGTCGTGCGAGCGTTTGAAACGGTAGTTAAATCGACGTCATTCAAGCTCTTTTATCATACATTGACAACCCGGAAGTGTAAACAGAGGTCTTTTCAAATTGTGTACAGGTAAGCTTACTACCTTATTATCACAACTATATCGTGACTGGCAATGCATGTGAAATCTTGCTTAAATTCGATTGTTTAATCTTCACTGTCCCAGTGAGGGTTATTCAAGCTGTCTGATGTCGATAGTGACAGTTTAAGTGGTAATGATCTCGTGTTTTTATAACAGTAGAAGTATCCTTAGCGCATTAGTTTTGGACCCCTTAAGAATCATTTCTCACTAGCTACGCTATGTCGAAGAATTGCCACCAAATTAATATACAAGTAAATTAAACTTTGTTCCTACTATAAGATTTATTTAAAACAGATCGATGAAATTCTAGTATTTTTCTAGAAAATATCTACAGATCCTACCTCAAATCCACTCGTCTGAAATGACAGACGTGTATCGGACATGTAACCGCACTTCCGATTATGATGACATCACTAAATAATTGAGACGCTAAAGTTAGGTATTACATAAAATCATCATTTGAACGGGAATGACATTTTGGTGGGAATAAAAATCTAAATAAATTCATGATACTAAATTAAAATGAATAAGCTTTTTTTCTTCGTAAACTTCTTATTTATAACAAAATATATATATTGAAATATAGTTGATTATTCCTCTGTATACAAATGACAAGTCAATGAAAATTAGAAAAGATTCATCCAAAATTATATTTGAGAAATCGTCATTTTTCCAAAATAAGACGAGCATGTTGGGACTTCCAAAGCCAAAAAGAAGCAGTAAGGTGTGGCCCATTATTCATAGTTGATTTTTAATCATGTGACAGACAACAACGTAACATTGACATTCGAGGATATATTGATGGTTTATTTAATAATATCTGGGGAGATGTTTGTTCAGTGAAGTAGTCACCAGTTACTACAAGGAGATATGGCTTCAAAGTAAACAGGAATGTTCAAGGGGTGATAGACATACAAACAAATATGATACAATAAATGTATTTATAACAATGCTGTTTTAGACTGTATAATTGCTTTATGCTGAAGGTGAATAATGACCAAGAGACATGAAGATCCCTCGCTGGCAACCACGGAGGTTTCTGAAGTTGACCTGCCTTTTTTTGACACTTTGTGTGATAGTCTTGATTATCAACACATTGAAGACTGTGTGGGAGGATAACAAGTGTTCTGTGAAGGAGTCATATACACTGTTGGATGATGTGGTAAGTTCTAGGTAATAACTTTCTGGTTGAAGTTATAGACTTGTGTGTGATATGGTGATTTCTAGACTTGTGAGTGATGTGGTAAGTCTTAGACTTGTGTGTGATAAGGTAAGTCTTAGACTTGTGAGTGATGTGGTAAGTCTTAGACTTGTGAGTGATGTGGTAAGTCTTAGACTTGTGTGTGATGTGGTCTAGACTTGTGTGTGATATGGTGAGTTCTAGACTTGTGAGTGATGTGGTCTAGACTTGTGTGTGATATGGTGAGTTCTAGACTTGTGTGTGATATGGTGAATTATAGACTTGTGTGTGATATGGTGAGTTCTAGACTTGTGAGTGATGTGGTCTAGACTTGTGTGTTATATGGTTAGTTCTAGACTTGTGTGTTATATGGTTAGTTCTAGACTTGTGTGTTATATGGTTAGTTCTAGACTTGTGTGTTATATGGTTAGTTCTAGACTTGTGTGTGATATGGTTAGTTCTAGACTTGTGTGTGATATGTTGAATTATAGACTTGTGTATGTTGTGATATTAGTTTTAGACTTGTGAGTGATATGGTAAGTTCTAGACTTCAGGGTGATGATGAATATTCTTGACTGATTTGAAGTTTTAAATGTAGTCACAATCAACCATTTGTGTTTTGAAGGTTTTCATTTCTATTTCTTATGAAATTTCTTTACTGATACCAGTGTAAACTAAGTTCTTGGTGTAATATTCAAGATGTTATTGACAAAGATAAGTTCATTAACAAGGACAGTTTAATGAAATTTAGATTCCTAAATCTTTTTACCATACTCTAAACTCTTGACATTGTTTGGTAATGACCATTTACCATGTAATATTTTATATCTTCCTGTTGTTTAAACTCTGTAATGTTTTATTTCAGTGTCAGCGCTACAGGGACCATTCTGTGGCTGGTAACCTGTGTAATGACTTGTGTGAAATGCAAAGCATCAGATTTGTGAAGTGTACCAACTATCGTCGTGGTAAAAAGGTGTTGATCATGGAATGTGATGGAGCATGTGAAGCAGGGGAGACAATCAAAATTGTTATGAAGACCAAACACAGAGTAGAGGAGGAAGAATATGATCGTTTAGTTTTACCTTTGAATGAGGATGGTACCGTTTCTAAGGATGGAATAAAAATGGCTAAAATTCTGATGATAAACAAGGCTTTTGGTGATATGCATTTTACTGTGACATCCAAACAAAACATTTTCTCAGAACTTTGGTCGATGGACTATGATCAGTTTGTAAAATCTGCAACGTTCAAAAATGCTGACCATGTTGCCTTACTGAGTATCTGGTCCTTGCTACAGCAGGATGAATATTTGTTCATGAAGATATATCAAAACTTGCCATATATTCCTTATCTTTATGGTACTTGTGGGGAGTTCTATTTTATGGAGTATGCTCCACCTGGAGATATTCTTAGTCCAGGGTTCTTTGCGAAGTCTTCTTGGTCCAAGCGAGCTGATGCAGCATTAAAACTAATGGATATCGCACAATCACTTGATAATGACTTTTATCAAGCCATGCATTTCTGTGATATAAAAGTAGATAATTTTGGTGTAGGTATGGACTTGAAAGTTAAAATCTTGGACTCGGATTCACTGTTTTTTGATGAAAAAATGTCTTTGAATTTAAGAGGTTCATGTACTGATCATTTTGCTTGTGACTTTTTTGACTGTCGAGGATGGTGTGCTGTTCAGAACAAAACTTGTAATGGAAGAAGGTTTAACAACAACTTACAGGTTTGTATTTAAGGAAGTTTTTAAGGTAAAACATGCTGATGAAATGTACATGTTTCACCACTCTCCATTCATTAATGATCTTGAGAGCAATGGCAAAAAACAAAACCCAACAAAAATACATCAAATTTTTTATTTCTGAACTTGCATGTCATTTATGGTGTGTCTGTTCTCTGTCTTTAAATACTCTTTTGTTATCTATTAACTACTTATAAGATATGAGAGGATAGTAAGAATAGGGTAAAGTGCACCACACTTAACACACATTGGGTGGTCGGGTGGCGCAGTGGTAATGCACTCGCTTTCACCTAGCCAACCAGGGTTCGATTCCCGGAATGGATGTGAAAAGGTAAGGGGTCACCTGCCCGATCACGTGGGTTTTCCCCGGGTACTCCGGTTTCCTCCCACAATAAGACCCCTCGTGCGCTTACATCCGGGCCAACAAGAGTGATTAGTATAAGTAGACATAAGTTGTTTCGCAATTGTTGTAAAATAAATAAAGTTTATATTATATTATACTTAACACACATCTATGTCTTAGCTAATGATTTCTTATAGGATCATGTAATATGACAGCTCTTGTTTATTAACTCCTAATAATCTCCAATAAGCTACTAAAATGAACAAAATATGAGCATAGAGTATCGCGGAAGGGTCAATCTATCAAACAGTATGAAGGGACAACCACACCAGCCGAGAAACAATGAAAACTACACAAGTGTGGCTATCCCCCTGAGCTGGAATTTTTAATGTGGTGATGAGCTGAGAGATATGTCTTCTTGATACATGTCTTGTTGTTTCATACACCCAGCAAAAGATGGGTATTATGTAATCGTGTAACTAAGCAGGCAGACAGGTGGGCAGGCACATCCAGTGTCTGCTAGATAACAGTTTTCAACGAATCAATTTCAAACTTCGTAGAAAGGTTTAGTACCATGTTAGATCAAACAAGTTCAATCACCGCAATTTTTGATGATTTCAGTTTCTCAATGTATCAAATATTTTGGCCAGTCCCGAATTCTATTCCTATATATTAGTACTAACTTACCTCTTTATGAGTGAACAGTTTTATAAATAAAACTTTTTCATACATCAAATTTTTCAAGAACCGGAAGCTATGATCACAGTCATCGACACAGAATGATTCCAACAAAACATTAACCTGTGTTGTACAGGTGTTGTTATAACAAAGAGTGCTACCTGACAGTGGGATTATGATAGCCTGCTGTTATTTGTTACAATGTTAAACAGTTTCATAAGAAAAGAATGTTTATATGGTTCATGTGATTAACATTGAATTTCTGCGTCATCTTTCCTTTTCAGAATATTTGTGAGGACATCTTCATTGACAGACCACCCAACTTTTTCCGTGGATTGTTGCATGATGCTCCACCTGCAATTGCTGGTGAGCTGGCCTCAGTATTGCAGGATTGTGCTTATCCAAACCATAATATGGGTGAGGTTGTAAGGGCCCCAACATCTACTGAAATCATGGAAAAACTTTACAAATTGCTTCAGACCAGAACAGACTGAGAAAATTTACTTAGGTACTTTCATCAAATTTGATAGGAATATTCAGTATACCAGTCTACATCATGAGTAGAACAAAATATCAAACACCAACAACCTACAACTTGAAACAAATATGATTATCTGCCCTTTTCTGAAATAACATTTAAGTGGAGGAGGTTAAGCATTCACCTTGTGTGCCATTAACTTTATTTATTTTACTTAATTTTATTATATGTGCCTGATATCCGCTGTTACAGCCTTTCAGTACACAGGAGGTTTGACTTAATGTCCCTGATGTTCAGGTCAGAGTGGGTATCGTTAGTTATCCTGTGTCATACAGTTTTAATTTGATGTTTAAATGTACAAGTGAAAGTGCAAGATTTAATCCCCCCCCTACTTTTTAATGCCTTCTGGTTTTGCCAAACTTTGGCCTTCTTAAAGTCCTTCTTCACTTTGCTGGTGGTATCTGACTGCTGGAACTATTAATTAATCCAACTATAACAACACACTAGATGGAATTTATCACATAACAATGTTGTACATTTATTGAAATTCTTGTTACCTGAAATACATGTGATTATGTTACCAAATGTGACACCTGTTGTTGTTGAACATGTACTTATGTTTTTTGAAAAATGATTTTATATTTTGTGTAATATCTAATTCATGAATACCTCTCACATTCCTGTTTATAAATGATTTTTTTTAGGATATATTTATGATTTTATACACAACAATGCAGAAGTGTTTTTACAAGAAACAAGTACACAGGTGCTTTAGTGCAAATGTCTGCAGAAATCTGTTACATTTGTTTTGAAAACAATTCAATGGTTACATTTTAAAATTTCATTGAATAATCTTGTTCATCGAATGAGAACAATGAGATCATGTCTTGTAATAAGCCCACCCATAGCTCTTACTATTCACTAAAGTGTTTAACAAATACTTTCATTTTTCTGCATTAAGCCAACCCCTTCCTTCAAGTGAAAGTTTGTGTGTCGTCCCCAGGGATAAAATAAATATGAAAAGCTAATTATTTTGTCATTTCAATGTCTGAGCATGGTAGTGTGCACTCTATATATATTGCATTCCATTTTTGAATTATCGTTTTAAGTACCGAATCAACTCCCTTACATATACACTGTACATGTAAATGAAGCATAGATGTATTTTGCTGGCTTACTTAACCTACATCAAATCAAAGGTTTGTCCGGTTTGTCATACAATTCTTGTTGGTGGAACTTCATACTTGGGGTATGGGTTCACTTAGGTAGGGCAGTGTGAATATCAAGATAGGTCAATCTGACCTACATTTTGACCTTTGACCTTCCTAAAAGAAAAAGTTTGTCCAAGCTTTACTAGTTACTTGAACTTCTTGCTTAGGTTATGGGTTCACCTGGCAGAGGTGTGTTATGTATCAAAAGTAGGTCACCCTAACCTAAATTTGTACCTGGACTCATATCTACTACACTACTGGTTACTGAATGGTGCTTGAAGGACATTCTTGGTGTATAATTTCATATTTCTTGGGGAATGATTCCCTGTGTAATTGTCTTGTTTCTATTCATGTGTGTTTTTTTATTCTTTCAAATTTACAACAACTATTGTTCTTAAAATACATTGTAAAGTGACATTTTCATTTTCCTTTATTTGATAATAGTGACACTATAAACTTATATGAGATGTAAGACATTTGAATTATGTAACATGTAACTGAATTTGACCGTTCTGTTTACTGTTAATAAAAACCCCTGGCAGTACATATATGTATAACCATGATCTGTGATCCACACAATTCTCATTCACTTTAGATTGACATTTGATTGGTCACTGAAATAATTTGCATCAGTACAACTATGATCTTATGTCAACAAATTATTTGTGTATTTAGCCTGAATTACAATTGTAAATGAAGGCCATGTCAATTTCTCTTTATTACTAGTGTCATGTATCCGGAGTCATATAACCCAGATATGCACAAAAACAGAAACTAAATTTATCTTATTTTTGGTTGGTTTGACCTACATAAATTAGAATATGGATTATTTCATTGATGAGATTTGAAATGTGGTGCTATGTCAGGTATATCAAGATATCTTTAACATAGTCATTAATCAGATAAAGACATCCAATTTCTTTTAATTTTTAAGAATTTTCCATTCTGTACTATAATGGAAAGTCTTCACTTCAGTGGATACATTTTTCAAAATATATATGTTGCTGCAATTTGTGATAAACAAGTTAATAAAAAAATAAAAGAATTTTTAAGTCCAGGAGTTTTGTTGTGATAAATAAATATAGAACAGATTTTATAATGAAAAATAAACACGTTTTTGAACCAATATGAATACTTGGTACAAGCTATCCTCTTAGTTGCTCTTATTTAGGACATTTAAATCTTGTAAGAAAGATCCATTTAGTATGTACATACTTCCCAACAAAAAGCAATAAATTTAAACTGTCAAAATAAAAAAATGACTGCCTGTTAACAAGACATAATGGCAACAGACAAATGAAATTTGAGAATGCCCATCCAGGAATTCTCAAGATATAGCAATGATAAGCTAGTTTATTGTCAAAATCCAGTCAGGATGACTGTTTTTTTGTATTGTTTTCCCTATAATAATGGACAATGTGCAACAAAGGACTACAGGAAACCCACAAATAAACCTTCAGGATGATCAATGCACAATTTCTTATAAATCAGTGATAATCTTTATATATCATCATCAACATCCATGATGGCAGACTGTTAGTCATCTTGTTTTCCTACATAGACCTACAATGAATGCACAAATTACAGGGACCAAGGAGACCCTTCTTATGAAATTTGAGAAGAATCTATCCAGAACTTTCCAAAAAATTGTGAAAAATTACTTTTAAAACCCAAAATACCTGTTGGCCAATTATTTTACAATACACATAATTTACACACGATTGGCACGCAAGATAATTTTTTTTAGACCTACGGTAGATTTAGCGTTTACAATGTAAATAAATGGATGTTCTTTACCTTATTGATATGGATGATTTTCAGCAAGTGAAATGAGAAGAAAATGATTTGTACCTGTTTAATAATGATATTTACTGTCATACTGTTATAGGTGTCTTCCTTTCAAATGTAATACCATACTTTATAAGTCTTAGACCTGAGAATGAAATTTAAAGTATCATATACTAGTACATAAGCACAATAAATTTAACTAGATGATTTCTTTAGGAAATATACATACAGCCATTGGTGGAAATTAGCTTTTCACTGACTGTTCACTGGGGATTTAACCCAACAAAGAAACAAATGCAAACCATTTTTATATTTTGTACTTTTTATTGTAATTGACGACTTTGATATCTCAATGCCCATTTACATAGATAAAACGATACATAATTTAAAAAGGAAAACAAAATTTGCACACAGATATCTTCAACATGTATAATGTTAAACTGACTTGTACGATCTTAAGTTAAAAACAGGGTAACATTAAAATATTGGGACATCAATTAAATAGACAATCAAAAGCACCTGCCAAAAAGTGTTGACACTCCTCAAAGTCAAATAATCACTGAACGAGATGTGTTTATGAAATATTATGACCCTGGTAATTATTTTTTTTAACTTTCAAATGTAGGTCAAAGGTCATGGTCAAAGTCCCTTAGTCAAAAATGTTGGTACCACCAGAAAGGTCTTGTCACAAGGAACACATATGTCAAATATAAAAACCATAACTCTTACCATACAATAATTATAGGCAAAGTTAAAGTTGACTATAGACAAACACCACAAAAACAATTTGTTCAATCGTTGAATCTAACAATCTCTGGTTTATACCAATATCCAGTATTTGATATCAATAATCAACTCTTGATATCATGTACTATGTAGCTGGTAAAAAGATCATCAATTCTAATCCAGTTGCCTCAGCCTATGATTCATCACGTGACCTCTTACTTCTGTACAAGTGTCCTCTACAATCTGTCCACAGAGTGTCCCCTACATTCATCTGTCCACCATGTGTCCGTTACATCTGTCCACAAACTATCCTCCTACTGTCTGTCCATCATGTGACCCCTTACTTCTGTACAAGTGTCCTCTACAATCTGTCCACAGAGTGTCCCCTACAATTTGTCCATCATGTGACCTCTTACTTCTGTACAAGTGTCCTCTACAATCTGTCCAGAGAGTCCCCTACATTCATCTGTCCACCATGTGTCTGTTACATCTGTCCACAAACTATCCTCCTACTGTCTGTCCATCATGTGACCTCTTACTTCTGTACAAGTGTCCTCTACAATCTGTCCACAGAGAGTCCCCTACATTCATCTGTCCACCATGTGTCCGTTACATCTGTCCACAAACTATCCACCTACTGTCTGTCCACCATGTGTCCGTTACATCTGTCCACAAATTATCCTCCTACTCTCTGTCCATCATGTGACCTCTAACAGCTGTCCACTAAGTGTTACCCTACAGTTTGTCTCTCATGTGACCTCTTACAGCTGTCCACTAAGTGTTACCCTACAGTTTGTCTCTCATGTGACCTCTTACAGCTGTCCACTAAGTGTTACCCTACAGTTTGTCTCTCATGTGACCTCTTACAGCTGTCCAATAAGTGTTACCCTACAGTTTGTCTATCATGTGACCTCTTACAGCTGTCCACTAAGTGTTACCCTACAGTTTGTCCATCATGTGACCTCTTACAGCTGTCCACTAAGTGTTACCCTACAGTTTGTCTGTCTCATGTGACCTCTTACAGCTGTCCACTAAGTGTTACCCTACAGTTTGTCTCTCATGTGACCTCTTACAGCTGTCCACAAAGTGTTACCCTACAGTTTGTCTCTCATGTGACCTCTTACAGCTGTCCACTAAGTGTTACCCTACAGTTTGTCTCTCATGTGACCTCTTACAGCTGTCCACTAAGTGTTACCCTACAGTTTGTCCATCATGTGACCTCTTACAGCTGTCCACACCTCTTACAGCTGTCCACAAAGTGTTACCCTACAGTTTGTCTCTCATGTAACCTCTTACAGCTGTTCACTAAGTGTTACCCTACAGTTTGTCCATCATGTGACCTCTTACAGCTGTCCACTAAGTGTTACCCTACAGTTTGTCTCTCATGTGACCTCTTACAGCTGTCCACTAAGTGTTACCCTACAGTTTGTCTCTCATGTGACCTCTTACAGCTGTCCACAAAGTGTTACCCTACAGTTTGTCTCTCATGTGACCTCTTACAGCTGTCCACTAAGTGTTACCCTACAGTTTGTCCATCATGTGACCTCTTACAGCTGTCCACTAAGTGTTACCCTACAGTTTGTCCATCATGTGACCTCTTACAGCTGTCCACTAAGTGTTACCCTACAGTTTGTCCATCATGTGACCTCTTACAGCTGTCCACAAAGTGTTACCCTACAGTTTGTCTCTCATGTGACCTCTTACAGCTGTCCACTAAGTGTTACCCTACAGTTTGTCTCTCATGTGACCTCTTACAGCTGTCCACTAAGTGTTACCCTACAGTTTGTCCATCATGTGACCTCTTACAGCTGTCCACTAAGTGTTACCCTACAGTTTGTCTCTCATGTGACCTCTTACAGCTGTCCACTAAGTGTTACCCTACAGTTTGTCTCTCATGTGACCTCTTACAGCTGTCCACAAAGTGTTACCCTACAGTTTGTCTCTCATGTGACCTCTTACAGCTGTCCACTAAGTGTTACCCTACAGTTTGTCTCTCATGTGACCTCTTACAGCTGTCCACTAAGTGTTACCCTACAGTTTGTCCATCATGTGACCTCTTACAGCTGTCCACTAAGTGTTACCCTACAGTTTGTCTCTCATGTGACCTCTTACAGCTGTCCACTAAGTGTTACCCATCATGTGACTCCCTGCATGAGTCCAGTGTCCCACGGTTGACAAGTTTTTCGTCTCCATGACTCCTTCCATGTCCAGGTATTGTCTCACGGATGAATGTCAGTGTTCTGGCAATGTAACTTGTTCATCATGCAACTCCTTACATCTGACATCTGACAAAGTATCTACCTATTGTCTGTTCATCATTTGACTCCCTAAATCTGTCCATTGTCCCAATCTAGCCAGCCTGTCTATCATGTGATTCCCTACATCTGACATCTGTCCACAAAGTATCCACCTATTGTCTGTCCATCATTTGCCTCCCTAAATCTGTCCAACGTCCCACTCTAACCAGTCTATCATGTGATTACCTACATCTGACATGTGTCCACCAAGTATCCACCTATTGTCTGTCCATCATTTGACTCCCTAAATTTGTCCAATGTCCCACTCTAACCAGTCTATCATGTGACCCCTACATCTGACATCTGTCCACAAAGTATCCACTTTTTGTCTGTCCATCATCTGACTCCCTAAATCTGTCCAATGTCCCACTCTAACCAGTCTATCATGTGACCCCTACATCTGACATCTGTCCACAAAGTATCCACTTTTTGTCTGTCCATCATCTGACTCCCTAAATTTGTCCAATGTCCCACTCTAACCTGTCTATCATGTGACCCCTACATCTGACATCTGTCCACAAAGTATCCACTTTTTGTCAGTCCATCATCTGACTCCCTAAATCTGTCCAGTGTCCTACTATAGTCTTTTCATCATGTGACCACTACATCTATCCTCAAAGTATCCCCCTACAATCTGTCCAATATTTATCCGATTACAATGTTCACCTAGAGACCCCTCAATTTGACTGTAAAGTTCCATTAGACATTCATTACACTGACAAAGTTTCTGGTAATATGCATGAACAAAGCAGTGGTTAATCATGACACACTGACAAATATTGGCAACGATTTACATTCTACACAATAAATATGGTAATTTCAATCCTTCCTGTACTGTATTATATTGCTGACTTAGGATTCTCTTGGATAGATATGTATCAAACATTTACATAACAATGTTAAGATCTAGATGTAGGTACAAAACTGACTAGTAAATAGCTCATGAAATGTTAGATCTAAGCTTTCCTGACAGAATATCTGCTCGTTAGTGGTGTCTTACTAAAGTAGTAAAGTGATTGTTTATCTCTGTTATATCTTTTACACCCTGAATGTGTTCAAATCTTTGAATAATTTCTTATCAATAAACATTTCATTATAAATCCTATTAACTGTATTCAACTTTCTCCATCAAATTTAAAACATGGTGTTGACTAGGATTTACTACAAATTATGGCTGTACCATAGCTACATAACAACCCTTAAATAACATGTTGTTTACAATTATACACATGTTCTGAACCGTTCTGCTGTTTTTATATCAACAATTGATAAAAACCATGACAACTGGCATCACAATTAGTAAATAAAGCATTCAAAATCATAAATTGACTCACTGGGGTATCAATGATAAAAGTAAATCCAGTTATATGACAGCAAAACATTAACCTTAAAAGATTTTATAACCCAATGTCTGATATATCATCAGACATAGTGCGGGTGCACCAAGATTCCACAGGCCTTACCCGAAAGAATCGTGGCATGAGAGAGAGTAAGGTCATCTGACGCAGGATTGTATATAGTGATACCATCAATGAACGCTCCACCCACCATGTACACCTTGTCATTCACAACGCATGAACCTGAGTCCACAATACTTGTATGAGGCTTACACAGCGTCCATTGATTCGTCTGTGGGTTGTAACTCTCCACAGTCGGCGTGATGGTGGGAAAGATGAGGCCACCATGTCCACTGCCCCCGATACAGTAGAGCTGACCCCGAACTTCTTCCATAACATGATGTATACGTGGATACAACATGTTGGTACGCTCCTCCCAAGCATCGTCTACCACATTATATACATGCAATTTTTTACTGGTAACAGAAAAGATTTGGCCTCCTGACACATATATCTTTCCCTCACACACTGCTGCTGCATGACCGTAAACCTGTTCGTGAAGCGAACATTTACGGTCCCACTCATTCTGGGCAATACTGTAACATTCCACCGTGCTCATCATCTTGTTTTCATCTTGTCCTCCTATAGCATAGATGCTACCCTCCAGACCTACCATGGCAAAGTCGCGTCTTGGTTCTATCATTGAGGAAAGTTCATACCATGAATCAAATCTTGGATCATATCTGAAACACCGAGCAGTAGCAATCTCATTACTGGCCTGGTTGTCGTACTTACCACCACATGCGTACAAGAAATTGTCAATGACAGTAACACAAGGGTTGTAGAGGGGAGCTATGGGGTCTTTGAGTAGAACTCTTGTCAAGCGGTGACTGTCATTAATAGGATAGCCTTCCAGACATTGTCCATAACACATCACTAGACTTTTAGCATCTGATCTCACTTGTGTCCTAGCTGTTTGATTCAGTGGCTGTTTTCCTATGAGGATGTGGTAATCTTTAGCTTCAGTCAGTAAATCTAAACAACTTTTGTTTTTCTTCATAATCTCCACACGACTGACCTTGTCAACAAGCTCCTCTCCTGATAGGAGAGGTAAACGTACATATTTCATAAGATCTGGTACAAAAGCTTCACGTGTGTCAGGATTGTGATTTACCCAACGTAAAACTAGTTCAAACAGCTTGTACTCAGAGATCACTTTTAGGGAATTGGCCTGTAGCATCTCACTTAGCTGCATCTGAGTCAACAACTGATATTGTTCTGACTGGGCAACATTCTCAAAATTTTCCAGGATGAATTTCTTAGCTATCCTGGTTGTTGTCTCCAAACTGAACAGCTCAGCTAGATTGAGAACATCTACACAGTTTTTAGGGGTAATGGATGTCTCTATGTAGCGACTACAGAGCTTCACAGCATCATTAACTTGTAAGTGTGTAGCTCCAGCCAGAACTTCCTCCACATTCTCCATGTTGAGTTTTAAAATTCCTGTATATGCAAACTCCACAATGACTGTCAAAGCACATGCTGTCACTCCCTTGAGGTTGACCTCAGACTCGCGGCTCTCACGCATGTTAGTAGTCAACATCGTGAGGAAGTAGTCACTGGAAGCAGCCATCACAACCTTGTGGACAGGAAGACTCGTTCCCCCAGCCTTTAGGTAGTAGTCACAGAGGATCTCTTTTTCTCTCATATCCTTCAGGTTGTCTGCCAATTTTCCCAAGTGGTTTTTGGCCGTCATTGGCATAGAAAGCAACCTTTCTCTTTCCATATCATTTCTTACCCCAAATGGTACATTATGTGATACTCCTGCAAAATGTTTCTTTGGTGAAAATGGCATATTTAATATTATTGTGAACTGTTCATAACATAAATGCTGGCAAAGAGCTTACTTCCCATTCATCTGCAAAAAAAAAAATAAATAAATAAATAATAAAAAAATACTGTTATTACAGCTATATATACTGTAACTCATGATGGAAAAAAATCAATTCATTTTCAAAAGATGGAAATCTAAGGTATTAATAACTATGGCTATTGCTAACAGTTGCAGATTAATTTTGTCAAATGCATTTCACAAGTTTTTTTTTTAATTTATTTATTTTAACTGCCTAACTAGGTTAACATTATTTTCATTATTATATTATATTCACATATAAATTAGTACTGTAAAATCTATTCATATTATTTTGTTACAGGTGAGGACTTAGAGACACAGATTTATCCTGATGATATACAAAAAAATAGGATTCCTTTGACAGTCAGCCAGTGATATAATAAATTATAAGAGTAAACTTTACAGCTTGATTGTTTTTGGGTTTTATTTAACAATTCTATTGTGGCTGATTTTTCCAATGTTCATCTACTTCCTTCTCAAGCTGTTTCACTCTCCTCACATTTACAACATTAGATGATAGGCTGTTTCACATACCTATTTTTATTTTCTGACAGATATTTCATCACATTCAACCTTGAAAACTATAAATATATATGAAAGTTATGTCTATGTGCTTGACTTTTCATTGAGTGAAAAGAAGACTGCTACTTTTCTGTCATATTTCCCAGATATTATCTTATATTCCTTTATTGTGTCACCACATCATCTATTTATGCTAATGTCTGTAGCCTTACTTTTTACAAATGTATAAGATGAACTAGAAAACTTTGATACTTGGTTTGTTGTACAACACTGAATGTGGTCCTTGATTTTTTTTTAATGAGGGAACCAGAATTGAGCAGCATATTCAATATGATGTGTAATTTAAATGCTGTGCTGCCGACTTACATCATTGTACATTCAACTGGAAGGAAACGTAGCTGCTAGATTTCTAGCTATTGATGTAAGGAAAAGATACCTTGTTGCAGAATCTTGCTGTCATGTTTATTTATTGTTCTAAAAGCTTTTGTGTTAGCTTCAAATGCACAGGTAGCCATGGGTACTGCCCAGATTACCTGGTAAATGTATATTGGAGGAGATAGCTCCATCACATGTTTCAGGTCTACTGCACAAGTAGTTTACCTGTAGTCTTAATCTTGAACTCTACCATTGCAGCACAAGGTATAAAGAAAAGTTCACTATCGCCTGTATATATTTTATCAGCAAACCGAAAGTAAACATTACGTGCAATTACTGTTATATGACAAAGCGAAAATGAAAGCACATTCATAACATTTTTTTACAATCACCTCTTGAACATTCTAATACTGAACATAAGACTAGGTATATACATTTTGTAACAACTGATGATGTAAAAACAGTTCTTGGAATATCATCGATAGGCCTTTACATTGATGCATAGTCCCAAAAACTTGATGTTGCAGTTTTCATTTTACTCATTAACTTACTATCGATGACAGTTCAGTGGAATCATGAACTAAGTATATGTAGTTCCTTTATGAATCGTACCATGTACACGAAAGCAAGTTTTGAGCTGCTGGCATTTCAAGCTCCATCTTGCTTTGTTTATATGGAGTCACATAGACGCTTAGCTTTAAATATGCGTTTAAGCCCAACTCTTTGAAGCGTTTAACTGACCAAATTAAACTATCTTCCGGGAACGCAATAACGGAAGAAATCGAATTCCACCAAGGGACTGTTGAACTGTGGTAATCTACATACTTGTGAATTTCCCGTTGTTAATGTACGATTGATATTGATATATAATACAGTATTTAATACATTATTTTTCCTTTATATAACACACGAGCTGTTGTTGTTTAGTTAGTTTCTCTCTGACGATAACAGATGAAATCTACTGTTTGTTGTACAGTTACAGTACTCAAAATCTCAAGTTCAGCGTCAATAAATCGAAATCATAAACAAAACAAAAACAAACAACAACTAAACACCTCAAGCTGAGGCAGACAAAGTAAGATTAAGCCCAATCTCACCTACGCTTCGAGATGTCAATTACTTGAAATAAAAATGTGCCTACTTCAGGAGACAATGAAATTCGTCTCCTGAATCAGATGTGAACAGCATATATATCATTAAAAAACAGGAAGTGACTTTTCCGAGTCTGCTTCTGTCTGTACAGAATTTTGTTTATAATATTTTCTTTGTACTATAAGGCTTCCCGGAATCATCCTATTCTGAATTTTCAACTATCTTTGTCAAAGAAACATAACTATTGGTGCATTATAAACAGCATTCAAAACAACCAAAGAACACCATCAGACCAAGTTGAAACGTCTGGTAGAGAAATCTTCATACATTGTATACATGCAACAGCACAATAACAGATGGAATTTGAATGAAACCATACTAATCAAGTGGGTAATTAACATAACAGCTTACAGATGGCATCAAAACATTGCAATAACTAGCTAAGGGTTTGAATCACGCACTGTCCTAGACAAAATGCCAGTTGATGGTGTAGCCACAGACCAGGTAGTCGAGAAGTTGAAGTTGATCAATTGAGATTCCAAATGCCAAAAATTACCTCCAGTTTTATATAAATAATAATAATAATAATAAAGTTTTATTTATTGTCGGTATTTAAAACAGTACAAACATTAGCTCTTTTGAGCTATTTCATCCGACACATGCATACAGTCACACACCAAATACGCAATGACATAATAGATAAAATATAAGTTTAAAACCATGATTAAAACTTTAATATTCCGCAGGTGAAGTATTAAAATATAGTATTGTTAAATGTGTCTGATTATATAGGTGTTCTATGTGTGTCTGTAATCATGTGTGCATGTGTTGCATTTACATTTTGGCCCATACCAGCTGGTAATTAGTGTCTTAAATTGTGTAAGTGTGGTTGTTGTTCTGAAATGGTCTGGTAGGGTGTTCCAAATTTTAGGTGCTTCTGATCTAAATGAGTGTTTGCTGTATTTTGTGGTCCTAACCTGTGGTATTTCCGCTGTATTATGGTATCTAAATGTATATGATTTTTCTGTTATGTTTATAAGGTCATGCAAATATGTTGGTGTTTGATTGTTGCTAATTTTGAAAACTTCTATTATATGTTTTTTACTGAAATTATTTATTTTTCACAGCTGGAAGAATGGCACACCATTTGGGTGGTTCCAGTCGTGGACCAGTTTCCAGAGTTGAACTCAGGGTTGAATGCCAGAGTCTTCTTAAGAAAGACACATCCTCTAAATCAGACCCATGTGCTGTGTTTCTGTTACAAAAGCAAGGCAAATGGGTAGAGGTAGGAATTGAATGGAAATCAATGGCTTTAATTTGATGCAAATTTGTAAAAATTGTACATTTGTTCTATATGTTTCCATCAAATTATCATTGTTACAGGTTGGACGAACAGAAAACATAGAGAATTGTCATGACCCCAAATTCACGAAGACTTTTGTTATTGACTACTATTTTGAGGAAGTTCAGAAAGTGAAAGTCCAGGTTTATGATATCGACAACAAATCACCGCAATTGACTGACGATGATTTCCTTGGTGAAATACAGTGTAACCTTGGAACGGTAAGATAATAGATTAGATGTTTATGTGTTCTTTGGTTCAAATCAATATAATTTAACAATATAATTCCAGGGCTAGTTATAGGTGCACCAGGATGATGTCCATTATTGCAGCTTTTGTCAACAAATGCCATGTCATTGCCCTGAAATAAGCCTATTTGCCCATTTTTAGTCCTACATGTAGATGATGACTCCTAATTGCCAACGTTTTAAAATTTTCATGAAGGAGATTTTAATGGCTAAAAAATAAGCATAAACATGAATGCCAATACCCTTCAGTAAAGAAATGACACTTTCAAATGATATTTTCTTGGTTGTTCATTGAATTGAAATCAATAGATCTTAGAATATAAAAATAGTTCAGAGATTTCACTTGTAAAACATAGCAAAATTAGAGATCCAAAATTAGGAGTGTGCCTCCTAAATAATGAAGGTTGGCAAATATGTGATATGTTGCTTCCTTGGCCTATTGCAATATGTAATCTCCCCTGTGTCATGGAAACAGGCAAAATCTCAACCCAAAGGTTTGATATGTGAAGTTCAGTACAAGGGTTTAATGAATACTGAACATCAAAATTCTTATACTTGTTGAAATTTCTGTCTAATTACTAGGAGCAAACAATTACCTTTTTAATCAAAAGAATTATTCAACTTTCATGGTAAAAGATTAAAACATTCCTTCCCCTGCACTCTCCACACACGCTATTACACACACATTCTGCTATAAACCTTCATCTCTTCTGAAATTAACAAGTAGGGAAAACTTGATTATACTCACTTTTCATGCCAACTCTTTCTTTTTTTCCAAATAGATTGTGTCCAGAAATCCCCTGGTCGAACCTTTGCTGAAAAAGAATGGTCATCCTATGGGCGGATCAATGATCACAGTAAGATCTGTTTATTATCATCAATGATCACAGTAAGATTTGTTAATTACAATCAATGATCACAGTAAGATTTATTTATTATAATCAATGATCACAGTAAGATCTGTTTATTATAATCAATGATCACAGTAAGATCTGTTTATTATAATCAATGATCACAGTAAGATCTGTTTATTATAATCAATGATCACAGTAAGATCTGTTTATTATAATCAATGATCACAGTAAAATCTGTTTATTATAATCAATGATCACAGTAAGATTTATTTATTATAATCAATGATCACAGTAAAATCTGTTTATTATAATCAATGATCACAGTAAGATTTATTTATTATAATCAATGATCACAGTAAGATATGTTTATTATAATCAATGATCACAGTAAGATTTATTTATTATAATCAATGATCACAGTAAGATCTATTTATTATAATCAATGATCACAGTAAGATCTGTTTATTATAATCAATGATCACAGTAAGATTTATTTATCATAATCAATGATCACAGTAAGATTTGTTTATTATAATCAATGATCACAGTAAGATTTATTTATCATAATCAATGATCACAGTAAGATCTGTTTATCATAATCAATGATCACAGTAAGATCTGTTTATTATAATCAATGATCACAGTAAGATCTGTTTATTATAATCAATGATCACAGTAAGATATGTTTATTATAATCAATGATCACAGTAAGATTTATTTATTATAATCAATGATCACAGTAAGATTTATTTATTATAATCAATGATCACAGTAAGATCTGTTTATTATAATCAATGATCACAGTAAGATTTATTTATCATAATCAATGATCACAGTAAGATCTGTTTATTATAATCAATGATCACAGTAAGATATGTTTATTATAATCAATGATTAATGTAAGAAATGTTTAACATTAATCAACTTTCTTGATGAGAACACTGTAGAGATCATTGGTCTCTGTAAGACCTGTGTTTGGAAGTTCATGTTCACTGTAAAAATATGAGATTTATTTGAATATACTTCACTCAATAGAAATAGAAATTTGTGTCCTACTTCCTTGGTTTCATTAAAGTTTACTAAATCTTTATGTGTTTGGAAAAAAATGTTGAATTCTATTATAGTCTTTGATATTTCTGACTGGTGTGAGATCAATTCAATATTGCCATGTATTGAGAACTTAATTTGCCAGATGGTTACAGGTATCTTTATGGTGAGATTGGAAATTAATGTCCATGCTGATTAAAATTTTACAGTTGTCAGATTATCTGGAGTTGATTATGACATGGGTTTTTTTCAGATTCGTTCTGAGGAGATGAAAGAAGGTGGCGAATTAGCTCATATTACATTGAATGCAAAGAAACTTGACAATAAGGTAATTAGTCCTCCACCAGAAACCGGGGAGACTAGAGTTTAGCATTGTGTCTCTTAGTTCTCTCATCTCTCTATCTTTCCATCCTTTTGTCCTTCTGTCAACATGTCCAGGCTCTACTTTTTGTCATTGGAACTTCATTCTGCAGGTATGGATTCACCTTGGTGAGACATCATATAATGTAAGAAAGGAAGATCACTCTGACCTACATATTGACCTTTGACCCCATCAAAGAAAAAGTTTGTGTGGGGAATACAATGTATTTCCTCCACTACAAGTCATTGAACATTCATCTCTTGCACATATTGATTTTGTGAACATATTTTCTGATTTGTAGTTTTTCTTTATGTATGGACTATGATTTGTGTTAAATTTTGCATTTGAAATTTTAAGTTAAACATAAAGGAATGTTAAAAAATATGAAGGAGAAGTTTAAAAAAAATATTCTTTTACCTTGAGACTTCATACTGAAGTTTTCAACTGATAGTGAGGAATATCAGTATCAGAAAATGACAGCAATGAAACACTGTTATTCTGATAAAATTATTTGGATTACTAAGGCAGATACTGGTATAAAGTGAAACTAGTTATTATTGTACACAAAAAATACCTGATGTAAACCTATTTTAGCTAGCTTCAAGTGGAACAATTGCTGCAAGTTCTATTTTAGAGCCTTTGTATAACCAAGGTTCAAGAAATAATTCTTCCAGTACCATCATTGAATGTCAAATATCAGCATGTCCTGATGTCTAGGTATCAGTACGGTTAAAAATTCAGATTTCATTAAAATTATTTACCTTATGTCATGTAGCATATAAATCATTTCTTTGCAAGTAACTAAATTTTGCCAAATATCATAACAAATTTTACCAAAGGGGGGAAACTCTGGTAGGCATCCTTGTACTTTGTTGTTTGAAATAATCAAAATCATTAGCTGGTATCAAAACACTAATGAGAAGTTTTCAATTATAAATATTACAGGATTTCATGGGAAAGTCAGACCCTTACATTGAAATTCAAAGACAGAACCCAGATGGATCCTGGCAGGTCACACATAGAACTGAGGTAAAGTATTTAAGATCAGCTTTTGTTGCTACTTTTTGTTGTGTTACCTCTGTGGCATGTATTATTTTAAAGTTTTTTTCTAGGGGCTCTGTGCGCCCAAATGTGGGTCCTATTTCCAATTGGATCTACTTCAAAATATGGCCTAATTCCCAAACTATGAAGTTAACTCATTCAAATGTTGTTCTCAATTGACTAATTTTCTTGTCAAAATGAGATAAAAAAAGCCATTTCTTTAATGAGTAAAAAAGCTCTGTATGTGATAGAATTGTTATTGGCTTTATTTGTTTCCACATATTGTGTTGTTTATAACATCTGGGGTAAGCTTTGTATCTAGCTCCTCCTTATTTGTTTATTTAAGGACAACATTTTATCATACAGTGGTACCTAGGCGAGTATATTTTGGTGATTGGTTACAGGTAATAAAGAACACACTGAATCCTGTGTGGAGGCCATTCTCAGTATCTGTTCATGCCTTGTGTAGCGGGGATCATAACAAAGAAATCAAGGTAGGACACGTTTAACATATATCGTCACTTTTTTGATGTAATAATTTCAAATTTCTATTTAAACCATTAAATCTTCTTTAATATGGCAGGGACAATCCACAATGAAAGGTGATAATGTTAGAAAGTTGAAGAATGTGAAAGTTGTTTATTTGGAAATTTGAAGGTTTTGTAGGGTTTAGACATACTTCTTGAAATTGAAGATATTTTACACTCCTAGTGGCCTACAATTTAGATGTACTCATCTTGTGATTACTCATTTGACATAACTTTTAAAAGTAAAGTATAATCAAGAACAAATACAATATGTAGCCATTAGATAAGTAATTGACAAATTTACTTGATTTTAATTTGTACTTATTAGTTTTGTTTTTAACTTAAATAATCTAGAGCAAATGTCAGATTTCGTGTGAGGATAATGGACTGTAAAAGACAGAAAAGTTTAGCAGTGGGTAGTGTATGAGAGACAATTGCTTCCTAATTACTTCATGGCCTTTTGTTCCAGACACCTTATTTTTTGATGATTTTAACTGAAATGTACAATAGCATATTCATAGCTCTTTATCAACTCTATATTAAGTTTTCTTTTTTGCTTCAGTTTGATGTGTATGACTGGGATAGTGATGGGTCACATGACTTTATCGGTGGATTCAAAACCACTGTGAAAGAAATGATGGGAGCCTCGAACAATGAGGTAAGTGTTATCATCTCACCAGCTGTGTCGTGTTATTGCTATTTCTTGAGATGTGTTGTAACAGATATTCTCAAGTTCATATGTGTCTTTTGTAGAACATTATCAATTTTAATAAAACTTTGCATGTACATTGTTCTTGGGCCATAGTTTTTCATGATCTATTTCGGGACTGATGTGAACTTCAAAATGGCCACCAGGCAACCATCTTGACTTATGAAATTTGAATATTGATTTTGTCATTTGTAAAGAGCTCTGGATCATTCTCAGATGTCATTTGTACACTTCCCTTGGTCCAAAGTTGTGCATGAGTAACTATTTGAAGAATTCAAAAGCCAAAATGGCCACCAGGGAGCCATCTTGGATTTGGAATGCTGAAGATTTTGAACACTGTTTCTGGTGAAGTTGTGGAGTAATCGTTCTCTAATTGTTTAGTTTATCTTCCTATTGGTCACTAGATGTTCACAATTTAATATGGGGATGAACTGCAAAGAAGATATCTCTTTGTTTTTCTTCTTTATGTATATTTTTTGGACTTAACCGCATTTGTTGTATATTACTTAGGCTGTATGTACTTAAGTCAAGTGTATATGACTGTATGTACTACAGATTGTATTGTTTGTATGTACATATGTACTGCAGTGATATAGCATAGATTGTATGTCATACATTTATATACCTTAGTCTGTATGTCATGCAGTGTATATACTTTAATTAGACTGTGTGTACTACCATGTACACTGTATATAGGTAAGACTGTGTGTACTACCATGTACACTGTATACAGGTAAGACTGTGTGTACTACCATGTACACTGTATACAGGTAAGACTGTGTGTACTACCATGTACACTGTATATAGGTAAGACTGTGTGTACTACCATGTACACTGTATACAGGTAAGACTGTGTGTACTACCATGTACACTGTATATACCGTAAATATTCGCGTATAGTGTGCACTCGCGTATAGTGCGCAGGTACTTTTTGGAGATCAGATTAACAACAAAAAAATCTACAGAAAAATTAATTGACTGGTCACTGCGACGAAACATTTGATGTGGTCTGATCCATTGATAATTAGGAAACCACAATGAGCGTGACCCTAACACCTGTAATTACCTTAAGTAAACAAATTTACCCAGGTGACCTAACAAGCATGAAAGGCTTGGCTGATTGTATAATTAACGGTTAATGACAGTTAACACGTTGAGTATGAGGAGACTGATGACACCCGGCTTGGGCTGAACGCGTACTATTGGTCAGAAAACGATGTTGTTTTAACTGTCTGAACATTTTCAATCCTACCTTGTCCCCATAAAAGCAGGTGGTTTGTTCAGTATAGGCATGATCTTTCATGGTATCTGTACCCACCGCGTTATCCGAAGGTATTTAATGATAGATTGTTTACACCGACTTCGGCATGGGGAAACTGCGAACGCCATTTGACTACGCCGAGAGACTGGAGTTTCGTGCCGCCGGTCGCCACTTCGACATTCCAGAGTGAAATATCAAGGCACGGAAGAAAGAAAAGACCGTCTAAAGTCCCAACCACTGACCAGAAGGGCCGACATACGTGCGACAGCGAAACACCCAGAGATGTATGCGATCGCCGATATCCCGGCATCGCTGCCAGTACAACAGAACTGCGCGTGTGGGCCATGCAGATCAAGAGAGGTCATGGGGTCACCAACTTTGGGCATCGGTGGGATGGGCTGTCCGATTTATGAACAGAACAACAATCGCCTAAAAACTTCCGGATTCATTGAATTCCACAGATACATCATCAAAATGAGGCAGAAATTCAGACACTACTATAGCCCCAACCAATAGTAAGACAGACGGGAAACGAAAAAAAAATTAGATTCACCGTAATGCTAGCGTGAATGGCAGATGATTAAAACATTTTATTTTTTTGTTGTTTTTATCTCCAAACTATCATATAAGACCGACGACTTTTACATATAACTATGTGAAGGGAGGTAATCCAATATGGCGGATGCAGAACTCGGGAATGATAACCCCAGGAATGGCATGTACCTGCGTATAGTGCGCACCCCCTTTTTCACACGACAGTTTCAGCTTAAAAAAGTGTGCACTATACGCGAATATTTACGGTAGGTAAGACTGTGTGTACTACCATGTACACTGTATATATTTAAGACTGTGTGTACTACCATGTATACTGAATATAGGTAAGACTGTGTGTACTACCATGTACACTGTATGTAGGCAAGACTGTGTGTACTACCATGTACACTGTATACAGGTAAAACTGTGTGCACTACCATGTACACTGTATATAGGTAAGACTGTGTGTACTACCATGTACACTGTATATAGGTAAGACTGTGTGTACTACCATGTACACTGTATATAGGTAAGACTGTGTGTACTACCATGTACACTGTATACAAGTAAGACTGTGTGTACTACCATGCACGCTGTATACAGGTAAGACTGTGTGCATTACCATGTACACTGTATATAGGTAAGACTGTGTGTACTACCATGTACACTGTATATAGGTAAGACTGTGTGTACTACCATGTACACTGTATATAGGTAAGACTGTTTGTACTACCATGAACACTGTATGTGCACTGTATATAGGTAAGACTGTGTGTACTACCATGTATATAGGTAAGACTGTGTGTACTACCATGTATATACGTAAGGCTGTATAGGACTACAAGTTTATACCAGTATATCTACAACTGTGTATACAACAGTTTTGACTGTTAATAGTGTGTACCAATGCAGTGAACATTTATTGACAACATTACATCTCTGTGATAAAACATCTTATATTTTAATTCAAAATATATTGATACACATCAGATCCATGGTCTTGCAATAAAAAAGATATAGTACGAGGAGGTCAAAGTATTGATCAATGGCTCTCAGCTGAAAATGGTCATTAGACAGCGTCATTTAGCAGTCATTTCATGGTTATACATGTATACATGGGGTGAATATTTTACGTTAGATGATTTTCATGTAGAGATAAAAACTTGACAGGACAAAGAAAGATCACTTCAGGCTCAGTAAGATGTGATATTATCATGTAGCAAAAATAAATTCAAGTGTAAATTCCAATATTGAACAAATTAGTGCAATGATGAATTTGCACCTTTGCAATAAGCATGTGTGATTGTTTGATGAAGCTGCAGTTAGTGTAATTATACTTAAACTCAATACCGCTTGTGCATAAACACATCTTACCAAGCCTGAAGTGTATTTTCTTTGTGCCTGTCAACTTTTATGAGATTAAGCTTTTGTGGGACAATTTTTCTGATTGCTTAATACAAATATGTCACATTTGAAAATGATCATGATTTGACAATTGAAATGAATTTTAAAATTATGACATAGAGATATTAAATATATATGTTACCCTATCCTTTTAAGATAAAAATGTAGGTAAAAAACATATCTAAAATACAAACATAAGGCACAGGTGATATTTGATTGTGATCACAATGGTATTACACAGGTGATTGTGATCACAATGCTATTACACAGGTGATATTTGATTGTGATCACAATGCTATTACACAGGTGATATTTGATTGTGATCACAATGATATTACACGGGGACTTTTGTGTTTGGTATAATGTTAGCACCTTTTCTGAAAGTCACACAGTTCTAATGGATTATATCATCCAGTAAATACAACAGATCTCAGATTTTAATAATTTTCATCGTTGTTAAATGTTATTCAATAAGATCAGTTGACAATGATGTGTTATACTGAAACTTTTTCACTGTCTTTCTGGGTGAGATCACACATTATCAATCAGTTATCTAAAGAATATAAAATGTAGGATGATGCTTTGGTCCCTTTTTGTTTCATATAATCGATGAACACTTCCCCTCTGTCCTTCTTAATAATTCTCTACCATTTTACAGTGTAGATCCAAACAAACTTGTTCAACTTTTTTTCCTCACCAAAGTTGTTGTCATGGTGATTAATCCACCTTAGCTCACTGTTGTCATGGAGAATATCCACAATTGAACACTGTTGCCATGATGACCAATCCACAGTTGGTGTTGGTATGGTGATATCCATAATGTTGCCTAGAATCAATGATACCATTTGTAAAAGTAGCTGTTCATTAAATCAGTTCTGATCAGGATGTTGCCACAGTGCTGTAATAAGCCCACCTCAGATATGCTTTAGTCCTATTACAACACAGATGTTGTTATGTTGACATATATTCCAAGTTAGTTGTTCATTCATTCAATCAAGATGTTGCCATGGTGATAACTTCACTTTGAGTGTTCCTACAGTGTTATTCCAATAGAGATGTCAAGGTAACAAATTCCTCTTTAGGTTGGTACAGTACTGCAAATTAGTTGCATTGAGGTGGCAGATACTATGACCTCACAGATCTAACCACAGAGAGGCTTCATAGCCACCATGTTCTCAGTGACTGTGAGAGGGAAATTGATGACGCCTAACAGTGCCTCACATACACCCTTAAGATTCTCTATACATACAGTGAAGGGCAACAGAAGGATATACAGCCATGCTATAAAGAAGGCAATGGGCCATGCTAGGAACCAAAGGATAAGAAACCACAGAAAAGCCCACAGTAGCCCTGGGCACAGGGCCCCACCATCCGCACGTCCTTGACCTTCTCCAAGACCTTCTCCTAAACCCATCCTTCTTTCAACTCAGCAGTTCTGAATTCCTGATAAGCTGATGATTCTGAAAGAAGACAAATGCAATATAATATTAAAATCAGTATTTATGGAAACATACTTTGTTTTCATAATGTGGTGTCTGTATTTAACTTCTGTATGTCTTATATTATAGAGAAATCCCCTATATTCTGGTCTGAGTAGCCATATCCTTTCTGTAATATTGCTGACTTTACTTAAAATGTCTGGAAATGCACTTTATAGCCAACCATCACCAGATGTCAGGACCTTATAATTGACTTTAGCCTGTGGTTCCCTGTCCATCCAGATTTACTTAAACAATTCATGCACCTAGTTATCACCATTTTTTGAGTGATTGTGGATCAATCAATCTTATATTTTGTATGATATTCCTGTTGGTCCCTAGTTTTGCAAGTTAATTTTAGGACATATTTTAAAAAAATTGCTACCAGACAATTATCTTTGATTTCAATATAGGAAATCAGTTATTACTCTTTCTGGATAAGTAGAGTATAGATTCTGTCTGATTTAGAATCCCTATGCTCTCTCATATTCAATTTTGGGACTGGTCACTGAAAAAAAATGGCCGACAGGCAACTGTCTTGGATTTTGACAGTTGGAGAATGTTACTGCTGTTTCTTGATTAATCATTAAGGGATATTCCTTGAGTTTCATATGTCTGGTGCCCTTGATCGCATGTTATGCATATTTAATTTTTTGGGACTGATCAGGAGGATGGATGTGGGGGTCAGGATGGTGGAGTCTGACAGGCAGTCGTCTTGAATTTGTCAATGTTGGTTTGTTGTATCGATTTCTTTAAAATTACTAAATGGATCGTTAGAAAATTTCATTTAAATGTCTCCTTTAATCATTAGTTAGGCATATTTGATTTTGGGACTGATAAAAAAAAGGCAAACAGGCAGCCATATCATTTTGATGGTTTAATTTAGTTTGGATAATGATTGTTGACATGTTGGTATTTTCTTGTTGTTTTTTGTTAGCTCTATTTCTTTAGAAGGAAAGAACTGATTTAAGACAAATCATGCTTACTAATGTCAGTTCCTTATAGTCCCTTGCTCAATATTGGGACTAATAGAAAAGAATAGGAGAACTAATAAAAGGGAAGAAGAAAGGAAAGGGATCAGACCTATGTAAAATCAGTGTTTTAAAATAGTGTACAGTGATGGGCCCCAAGGTCCAGGAAAGGGATCAGACCTATGTAAAATCAGTGTTTTAAAATAGTGTACAGTGATGGGCCCCAAGGTCCAGGAAAGGGATCAGACCTCTGTAAAATCAGCGTTTAAAATAGTGTACAGTGATGGGCCCCAAGGTCCCTCTGAGACCTTATATTTGTTAGGTTTAAGGCAGGGGTTTAATCTAATATTACAAACGTCAGTAATCAATCATTTTACAAATCATTTATGTCTAGGACAGTCCCATATAAATGTTTATGATAGTAGTATATTACAGTATATAACAATATTTCAGTTTGATATGAATTAGATTGTGTATCGAGATTGATTTATCACAACAGTAGATATTGTTGATTACATACCTGAGCACATTACCCTGGAGAAGTTAAATATTTAGTAAACGAAGATCTGTGATGAAATTTCATTCCAGTTACTAGCAGTGTGAAACATTCAGATAAGAACATGCCTATACAGATGTACTTCTGTAACAAAGCCAATCCCTTTGAATATTGAAAACAATTATTCTTAGTAGATAAATCTTTCATGGCCAGTTTTTTATTGTATAAATCTGGTTATTTCATTTTTTATATGTACCAAATAACTTTGTTAGTCTGACAATTTCATTTTATCTATGTACTGTGGAACCTTGTTAGTTTGGACACCTTAGTTTACATGTACTGTGGAACCTTGTTAGTTTGGACACCTTAGTTTACATGTACTGTAAAACCTTGTTAGTTTGGACACCTTAGTTTACGTGTACTGTAAAACCTTGTTAGTTTGGACACCTTAGTTTACATGTACTGTGGAACCTTGTTAGTTTGGACACCTTAGTTTACATGTACTGTAAAACCTTGTTAGTTTGGACACCTTAGTTTACGTGTACTGTAAAACCTTGTTAGTTTGGACACCTTAGTTTACATGTACTGTGGAACCTTGTTAGTTTGGACACCTTAGTTTACATGTACTGTGGAACCTTGTTAGTTTGGACACCTTAGTTTACGTGTACTGTAAAACCTTGTTAGTTTGGACACCTTAGTTTACGTGTACTGTTAAACCTTGTTAGTTTGGACACCTTAGTTTACATGTACTGTGGAACCTTGTTTGTTTGGACACCTTAGTTTACATGTACTGTGGAACCTTGTTAGTTTGGACACCTTAGTTTACGTGTACTGTAAAACCTTGTTAGTTTGGACACCTTAGTTTACGTGTACTGTTAAACCTTGTTAGTTTGGACACCTTAGTTTACATGTACTGTGGAACCTTGTTTGTTTGGACACCTTAGTTTACGTGTACTGTTAAACCTTGTTAGTGTGGACACCTTAGTTTACATGTACTGCAAAACCTTGAACTATGGAAAATTGGTAGTATTTAAACCTAGATTAAAGAGTATGAGGTAGGACCTTGTTGGTGTGTACACTTAGGACAGAGTGTGAAGTAGGACCTTGTTAGTCTGTACCCTTAGGACAGAGTATGAGGTAGGACCTTGTTAGTGTGTACACTTAGGACAGAGTATGAAGTAGGACGTTGTTAGTGTGTACACTAAGGACAGAGTATGAGGTAGGACCTTGTTAGTGTGTACACTTAGGACAGAGTATGAGGTAGGACCTTGTTAGTGTGTACACTTAGGACAGAGTATGAAGTAGGACCTTGTTAGTCTGTACACTTAGGACAGAGTATGAGGTAGGACCTTGTTAGTGTGTACACATAGGACAGAGTATGAGGTAGGACCTTGTTAGTGTGTACACTTAGGACAGAGTATGAGGTAGGACCTTGTTAGTGTGTACACATAGGACAGAGTATGAGGTAGGACCTTGTTAGTGTGTACACTTAGGACAGAGTGTGAAGTAGGACCTTGTTAGTCTGTACACTTAGGACAGAGTATGAGGTAGGACCTTGTTTGTCTGTACACTTAGGACAGAGTATGATGTAGGACCTTGTTAGTCTGTACCCTTAGGACAGAGTATGAGGTAGGACCTTGTTAGTCTGTACACTTAGGACAGAGTATGAAGGGTATACGTTGTTAGTGTGTAGGACAGAGTTGTTAGTGTGTACACTTAGGACAGAGTATGAGGTAGGACCTTGTTAGTGTGTACACTTAGGACAGAGTATGAGGTAGGACCTTGTTAGTGTGTACACTTAGGACAGAGTATGAGGTAGGACCTTGTTAGTGTGTACACTTAGGACAGAGTATGAGGTAGGACCTTGTTAGTGTGTACACTTAGGACAGAGTATGAAGTAGGACCTTGTTAGTCTGTACTCTTTGGCTAGGGTATACTTAGTCTGTACACTTAGGACAGAGTATGAGGTAGGACCTTGTTAGTCTGTACACATAGGACAGAGTATGAAGTAGGACCTTGTTAATCTGTACACTTAGGACAGAGTATGAGGTAGGACCTTGTTAGTCTGTACACTTAGCAAAGAGTGTGAAGTAGGACCTTGTTAGTCTGTACACTTAGGACAGAGTATGAGGTAGGACCTTGTTTGTCTGTACACTTAGGACAGAGTATGAGGTAGGACCTTGTTTGTCTGTACACATAGGACAGAGTATGAAGTAGGACCTTGTTAGTCTGTACACTTAGGACAGAGTATGAGGTAGGACCTTGTTAGTGTGTACACTTAGGACAGAGTATGAGGTAGGACCTTGTTAGTCTGTACACATAGGACAGAGTATGAAGTAGGACCTTGTTAGTCTGTACTCTTTGGCTAGGGTATACTTAGTCTGTACACTTAGGACAGAGTATGAGGTAGGACCTTGTTAGTGTGTACACTTAGGACAGAGTATGAGGTAGGACCTTGTTAGTGTGTACACTTAGGACAGAGTATGAGGTAGGACCTTGTTAGTGTGTACACTTAGGACAGAGTATGAGGTAGGACCTTGTTAGTGTGTACACTTAGGACAGAGTATGAGGTAGGACCTTGTTAGTGTGTACACTTAGGACAGAGTATGAGGTAGGACCTTGTTAGTCTGTACACTTAGGACAGAGTATGAGGTAGGACCTTGTTAGTCTGTACACTTAGGACAGAGTATGAGGTAGGACCTTGTTAGTGTGTACACATAGGACAGAGTATGAAGTAGGACGTTGTTAGTGTGTACACATAGGACAGAGTATGAAGTAGGATGTTGTTAGTCTGTACACATAGGACAGAGTATGAAGTAGGACCTTGTTAGTGTGTACACTTAGGACAGAGTATGAAGTAGGACCTTGTTAGTCTGTACACTTAGAACAGAGTATGAAGTAGGACCTTGTTAGTGTGTACACTTAGGACAGAGTATGAGGTAGGACCTTGTTAGTGTGTACACTTAGGACAGAGTATGAAGTAGGACCTTGTTAGTCTGTACACTTAGGACAGAGTATGAAGTAGGACGTTGTTAGTGTGTACACTTAGGACAGAGTATGAGGTAGGACCTTGTTAGTGTGTACACTTAGGACAGAGTGTGAAGTAGGACGTTGTTAGTGTGTACACTTAGGACAGAGTATGAGGTAGGACCTTGTTAGTGTGTACACTTAGGACAGAGTATGAGGTAGGACCTTGTTAGTCTGTACACTTAGCAAAGAGTGTGAAGTAGGACCTTGTTAGTCTGTACACATAGGACAGAGTATGAAGTAGGACGTTGTTAGTGTGTACACTTAGCGAAGAGTATGAGGTAGGACCTTGTTTGTCTGTACACTTAGGACAGAGTATGAGGTAGGACCTTGTTTGTCTGTACACTTAGGACAGAGTATGAAGTAGGACCTTGTTAGTGTGTACACTTAGGACAGAGTATGAGGTAGGACCTTGTTAGTGTGTACACTTAGGACAGAGTATGAAGTAGGACCTTGTTAGTGTGTACACTTAGGACAGAGTATGAAGT